TACCACTGTGGGACCAGGACTAGCAAATGAGAGGATCAGGATAGGCTTTCTGTAGGAGGTGGCAACTGATTTTTTTAAAATTTTATTTCTTTTTATCCTGAACTTCACAAACACCCCCAAAAAGAATACTTCCATATGCCAAATAGAACAGGAAAAGAGGATTATATATGAAACTTCTAATCTCTATTACATGTAGCTTGCTTTTTTTTTTAAAAGTATATACTAAATCCAACAAGTTACTTTCAGAGCTGTCCTGCTTGTCTAGGTTTCCTTCTGAAGTTCCTTTGTTTTCTGTGCTTTTAAAAAAATTATTTTTTATTCTGAAGCCAAAAAACTGAGCATTTCCATATATATTATAGAACAGGAAAAAACCATGAAACACATGAAATCATAGAAATCTACACAATGTACAGCTTGCTTTTCCTTCTAAATATGAGGACAAATTGAATGTTTAACTTTCAGAACTGCCCTGCCTGTGTTTCCTTCTGGTCTTCCTTTTGTTCTCTTCCATGAATTTAAAAAATGCTCCAATGACTCTTTTTTTTTCTTTTTAAAGCAATTGTATTGCTATTCCCTGTCTCCTTTCCGCTTTCTCCCTCACAAGTTACAAAGAAAAAGATAAAGAAAACCCTTGTAATAAATATGTATAAGTCAAGCAAAACAAATCCCTAGTTTAGCCTCATCAGAAAATACATGTCTCATTCTGTGCCTTAAGGCCATCACCTCCTTCTCAGGAAGAAGGTAACATGGTTCATCTTCAGTCCTCTGGAATTACGGTTGGTAATTGTTTTGTTCAGAGTTCTTAAGTCTTTCAAAGTTGCTTGTCTTTTCAATACTAATGTTACTGGATAAATTGTTATGTTTTCATGCACTTTACTCTGTATCAGCTCACACAAATCTTAGGTTTTTCTGAAACCGTCCCTTTTGTCATTTCTTTTAACAAGATAATATTGTTACATTCACAACACCAAAATATGTTCAACCATGTTCCAGCTGGTGGACATCCCTTAGTTTCCAGTTGTTTGGTGTAACAAAAAGAGCAGCTATAAATATTTTTGAACTTTCAGATCTTTTTCCTCTTTCTTTGACATCTTTGGGGTATATGTCTAGTAAGTGGTATCCCTGAGTTAAAGGGTATGCACAATTTAGTGACTATTTGGGCACAATTCCAAATTGTTTTTTGGAATGGCTAGACCAATCCCTATGACTAGGAGATAGTAATTGGCATGAACTTTGAAGAAAGCTTGGGATTCTATGAGATGGAGGTAAGGAGGGAGGGCATTCCAGGCACGGGGGACAGCCTGTGCAAAGCAATGTAAGGAGAGGATGAACTGTCCCATTCAGGGAACAGCAACCTAGCCAGTTTGATACTTTTATGTATGTCTTCAGAGCTTAGTAAAATGCTAGGCACATAGCAAGCACCTAATAAATTATTTTTCAGTCATGCACTCATTCAACTTAGCATGTGAAAGGGAGTAACGTGCAAATGATGGTGGAAAGGACTGCAGCCAGATCATGAAGGGCTTTAAAAGTCAAACAGGCAGGTCTGTATTTTACCTTAAAGAGAGAGCCACTGGAGTTTTTGGAACTAGGACATGACAGGGCCAGACCTCTAATTTTAAGGCTATCTCTTTGGCATCTATGTGGAGACTTGAGGCAGGTAGAACAGTTAAAAGGCTATTATCATAGTCAACATGGGAGGTAATGAGGGCCTAAGGTAGGGTACTGGCCTTGTGAGTAGAAAGAATATATGTGTGTGTGTGTGTGTGTGTGTGTGTGTGTGTATGTATATATATATATGTATATGTATATATATATATATGTGGCAGAATTGACAAGACTTGGCAACTCATTGCATCGAAGGGGTCAATGGAGAAGGAAAAGTTAAGAATGAATCTAACACTGAAAAATTTGTTTGACAGGAAGAAGAGTGTTGCCTTCAACAGAAGGAAGTTCAGAATATGAGTAGATTTGAATGGAAAGATAATGAGTTCTTTCTGGACATTGTTGAGTTTGAGATTACTAACAGATATCCAGTTAAAGGTGTTATAGTTGGCCCTATGAGACTGTGGATCAGAAGAGACTTGGGCTGGATAGATAGATTTGAGAGGTGACATCTGAACCCATACAAGCTGATGAGACCACCAAGAGAGGAAGTATAAAAAGAGAAGAGGGGCTGAGACAAAATAAGTACTCCGGTATACACACACATAGGAGGCCAGTAAAGGGGACTGAAGAAATACCTGACTGGTAAGAGAACTAAGAGATAACAGTGTCATAAAACCCAGGGAGAATATTGTCCAGGAGGTCATTAACAATGGAAAATATTTCAGTGTCATTAAGGATAAAGTCAGCAGATTGGGCAATTAATAGATCACTAAGAACCTTATAGAGTGAAGTTTTAATTGAATGCAAGTTCAAAGCCAGACTGCAAGAATTTGAAAGGTGAGGTGAGAAAGCAGAAGCAGTGCATGTAGACCTCTTTTTCTAGGATGATATCTAGAGAGATGAAGGATCAAATGAAGGATTCCTAACAATGGAAAAAAATGGGGACATGTTTGCAAACAGTAGGCAAGGAGTCCATGAAAAACATTGAAAATTAAAGAGAGGGGATAAGAAATGAGCAAGTTTCCTCATAAATCAGAAAGAATGAGATCCAAGATTAATCTCTTAAAAGATGAAACCATCAAACTCAAAGGCCTTTTCTCAGTCGTCATCTTTAATCACCTCTCAGCATGTGACGTTATTGATTATCCTCTCATTCAGAATACTCTTCTCTGGGTTTTCAAGATATCTATTGATTCTTCACCTACCTGTCTGGTCATTCCTTCTCAATCTCGTTTGCGGAATCATCAATCAATCAACAAGCATTCATGTCCAATATGTGTCAGACACTGGAGATACCAAGGCAGAAATAAAACAGGCCCTTCCCTTGAGGAGTTCACAATCTAGCTGGGAAGAGATATTTTGCATGTATAGAAAATACAAGATAATTTGGGGGAGGGGAGCAGAATAAGGAAAAATCTAAAGTAGAAGATGGCCTTTGATCTGAGCCTTGAAGGAAACTGAGGGTTCTAAGAGGCAGAGGTGAAGAGGGTGTGTGTCCCAGGCACTGGGTACAGCCAGTGCAAAAGCAAGATGGAAGCCATAGTGCTGTATGAATAATAAGGCTACATAGACTGGACAAAATAGTGCGCTTGGCGGTAATTCGTAAAAAGGCCGGAAAGGTGGGTTGAGTCTAGGTTGTGAAAGTATTTAAATGCCAAACAGAGAAGTCTGGATGTATGAATAAAGCTTTGAGGGCTTGTTATCTGCAAAGCACTGCAAGACAGTGCCTGCTTTCAAGGAGTTCACATTCTAGCAGAAGAGACAATACCTACGGAAAGATACAGCTGCAAATCAGACTGAAAGCTCCTTTTTCAATTTGATCTTAGAAATAATTATGCACTGTAGTTTATGGAGTAGGGGAATAACACATACCTTCCCTTTAGTCAGTCATTAATCAGTCAAGTGGAAAAGAAGGATACCTGTGGGGAAATAAAGAAGACCTGCAGCTAGGAGACAACTGCCCAGGGCTAGCCCAGATGGAGATTCTGGGAGGAGCTTTCCCATGTCCGCCCTCCACCAAATATTATAAATGGGAGGGAGAGGTCCCAGGGCCAGAGTGTGACTGGGTGTGGTGTGAATAACAGAACTGAGGAAGTGTGAGGTTCAGAGTTTATGCGATCTTTCAAGACGAGTTATTGGAGACAATGATGAAGTCAGGAAATCAGCTAGGTGGGAAACGATTTAGGAAAATCACTTTTAACAGCTATGTAGAACTGTGTGTATGAAGGTAAGGCTCAATAAGCCTGGAAAAAGGTAAGATAGAACTAGATTGTGAACGGCTTTAAAAGCCCTTTGACTGTCCAGTTTGTATTTTGCCCTAAAAGAGGCAGCCACTAGATTTTTTTGAACTGGGGAGTCAGAAGAATAGACCCAGCCTTCACTGCAATCACTTGGTATTGCGCTGGAGAATGGTTTTGAGAGAGCAGAGACTCGAGGCAGGGAGACCAAATGCGAGGCTACGCAGCAGCAGTCCAGGTGAGAGGGGGCAAAGGCCTGAAGTGGGGTGACGGCTGTGGGAGTGTAGAGAGGGGCACAGAAGGTGGGTAACGGAGAAAGAAAGGTGAAGGTATGGCAACTGACGACTGGATATACACTGGGAAACTGACGATGGAGAGTCCGTGACATGGTATCTCCTTGACGCTTTTATTATCCATGCCCTTAAGGGTGGGGTCGTCGTCCCCCCAACCAAAAAAAACCCTCCGCTGCTTTCCCCTCATTAATCTCTCCTTTGGTGATGTCATCAGCTCCCTTGGGTTCAACTATCATCTCTCCGAAGACGACTTTCAGATCTACTGGGTGTTCCAAAAAATGTAGTGTTGTTTTAAGCTGTGAAGCTTATATGAACTCAAAAAACAAACAAACAAAAAAACACACCACCGCCACTTAGATGCACTAAGACTTCTGGGACAGCCCGTAGCTAAGCAATCCCTTGTCTCTCGATTTCGAGCGCCAGGCCCGCCATGTTGAGCTGGACCACCCACGAGCATCTCAAACTCTACATAATTCTAACAGACCTGTTGCCTTTCCCCGAAGCCCGGCCCTCTTCTGACATCCTCCGATTCCACCTAGGTTTACAACCTTAGTACCATCGACTCCTCATGCTCCCTCACCGTCTCCCCCTTCCCCCAATTTGCAAGTAGTTGCTAAACCTAGTCGTGGGCCCGTCCCGATTGGAAACGCGGGAACAACCAGTGCCCCAAGTACTGACTAGCTGGGCCCAATCCCGGTAGGGTTCGGGGTGAGGGTGGGTGGGTGGGTGGGGGTGGGGTTGCGGGAGGGGCTAACACCTTTAAAAGGTCAGTCTGCGGTAATGCATTCTGGGAGTTGTAGTTCCAGGTGGGACCCACTGCATGCTGGGAGTTACAGTCCAAGCCAGCGCCCACGGCTTAGTTGCTGGGAGTTGTAGTCGTCCACGCTGGGAGGGGCACGCGGAAGTGGGTTTCATTCTCCAGTCCTGACTTTTGCTTCGGGTCTCTGCTGCAGTGGTGCAGGCAGATGACGGTTGCGGTTTAATTTCTCTAGTTTAAAAAACGCTATGGGCTACCGAAGCGTCAGTTACTGGCGACTGTGGGAGGGCGGGAACGGACGGCACAGGGGGAGGGAGGTCCGTGCGGCGCGTGCGTGACCCCGACGTAACCTCGGAGCCCTGAGTTTAGCGGGATTTCTGAACTCGGCAGCCGCTGGAGAAGTGAGCGGGAGAGCGCGCGCTGGGGGCGGGATCGGACAAGCCCGGACTCGGAGCTCGCGGACCGTATTGGAGGTGAGTGAGTGAGGCACCCCCTCCCCAGGACCCCTCGGAGGAGCGGCCTGTCCTTCCGGCGGCGCCCACCCCCGACTTTGCCGCCGCGCTCCCCTTGGTACGCGGGAGGCCCCCCCGGCTGTGGTACCAGGACCCCAAGGCCCGGTGCTGGCGGCATCCCAGCTTGAAAGTTGAGAGACCGGAGGAGTCCTCTAGTCCAGCCCCCTTCCTCGACAGACTGGGAAACTGAGGCCCAGGGCTGTGGCGAGCGGTAGATCAGGGATTCCGGCCTTCTGCCCCTGACGGTGAATTAAGTGTCCCGGGGCCTCGAGCAATTTCATAAGGTTCTCGGGCCCCCGAAGCTTTGTCCAGACTGTCCAGGGCAGGTGGTGTCTCTATCCGTTTGTTGTCGTTTTAGCTTTTTTTTTATATTAACAAAAACACCCTTTCTCTGCCACTCGTTCTTCCCACCCCCATGAAAGGGGTGGGGGGAAAAGGCCTTGTGACAATTGTGCATAACGAAGCAAAACAAATTCCCTCATTGGCCGTGGCCAAAAATAGGTCAGTCAGCACCCGGAGCCCATTACCTCTCCATCAGTAGGTGGGTAGAATTCGTCATCGTGTGTCCTCTGGAATCGAGGTTGGTTTTTTCGTGGATCAGGATTCTTAAGTCCTTCAAAGTGGTTTGTCTTTACTATGTTGTTATTGTATAACTTGTACCCCTTTTGCTGATCCATTTTTTTGTAGTGACTGTAACTTTCAGACATTGAGATCGTGCCCCTTCTACTGGGTTTAACCAGCCTTATTGCTTAATTTATCCAAATCTATTTTTGTGAGATTTTTCCATTTTTTCCCTGTGGGGATTGTTAATTTGTTCTAGATCCTCCCAATACATCTTTCGTTAGATTCAACAAACACCAATTAAGCACCTGTTATGTGCAAAACTGAAGTGCTGTGGAAAAGGAATGTTTAGGTGAGACTCATCCCTACCTTAGTGCATTTTACAGTGTAATAGGAGTATAGGATAAGTAGATAATTAATCATTTGTGGATCTGTGGTCTCATTAATGCAAATATTTCCACCAGTGGTACTGTAGATCACTATCCGGACATATTTTCTCATTCTATAGGATTCTTGGCTATGTGTTTTCATAAATTGTTGGGAAGGTTTACAGAATGCAGTGGAGGACTCCCTCAGGGTCTTTTAAGATTCTGTGGGTACCACCTTGGGCATTCTGCCCCTTGCTCTTTACTACACCTCCTGGACACATTTATATCTCATAATTACAATATACGGTGTTGGCCGATGGGTAGGGCATGTGTTAAAGATGATTGGAATTAGTAGTTCAGAGATCATGGTCACTAGGTGAGAACAGTTTCTATCAGGGTGAGGAAGCCAAATTGCAAGGGGTTAAGTGAGACATGAGCTCATTGAGGCAATGAGTGGAAATGACTTTTTAAAAATAAGTTTTTATTGATATTTTTTTAACATCACAATAGTACCCCCAACAACCATCCCATAAAACTATTTCATACAACCAATAGTATTTTAAAAGGCAAAAAAAAGAAAAAGAAGGGAGGAAATCAACGTAACTGATCAATACAACAAAAATGTCTGAAAATATGCACAAGGTACAATATTTGTAGACTTCCCACTTATGCAAAGGAGTGGGGTGGAAATGTTTTCTCATATTTCTTCTTTTAAGCCATTCTTGTTCTTTGTAATTTTGCAATATATGTATGTGTGTGTGTACTTTGTTGTAGCCATTGTGTATGTTGTTTTCTTGACTTTGCTTCATTTTGCATCAGTCCATGTACATCTTTCTATGCTTCTCTATGTGCTTCTCATCACATTCTTCATTTCTTATAGCAAATAATATTCCATTACATTCATGTACCAAAATTTTTTAGCCATTTCCCCAACCAGTAGATTGCTACTTTGTTTCCAATTCTTTGCTATCACAAAAAGTGTTGCTATAAATATTTTGTTGTATATGGAGCAGTGGCCCTCTTGGCATGAGGTATAAGCCTAGTGATAGAACCTCTAGGTTAAAAGGTAGGGATATTTTAGTCACTTTATTTGTATAATATCAAATTATTTCCAAAATGGTTGTACTGATTCACAGCTCCACCAACAGTGCACTAGTATGCCTATCTTCTGACAGCCCCTCCAACACTGAAGATATTCCTACCTTTTGTCATCTTTGCCAATTTTATTAGTGATTTGAAGCATTCTTTCATGTGGTTGTTAATAGTTTGTAGTTCTTTAGAGAGCTATTTGTTCACGTCCTTTGACCACTTATCTACTGGGGTCATATGTCGGTTGGTCATGTATCTATTTCTCTATCTGTTTATCTGTATCTGTTGATAGTTTATATGTTTTGGATATAAAGCCTTTAGAGAAATTTGATAGAGGGTTTTTTTTCCCATTTGACCTCTTATTCTAGGTGCATTAGTTTTGTAGGTACTAAAGCTTTTCAGTTTCATGTAATCAGTTATCTATTTTATTTTTTTGTAATTGCTTTAATCACTTTGATTAAGAATACATTACCTACCCATACCTATGAGAAATATATGATCTGCTTCTCTTCTAATATCTCTAATAGGTTGATCCTTAATATTAAGGGCTAGAAATGACTCTTTACAGGAATTTGTGAAAGAGTGAAGAAATAGAAGTTAATAGCTTGCAAGGATTGTTGGAAAGGTTTTTTTTTTTTTTAAAGGATTGCAAAGGGACATCTAGGCATATTTGTAGGCATTAGGGAACCATATAACGCATTAGGAGATGTATGGTGCTTAGCATTTAAGTAAGTGCTGGTTGATAGTGTTTGAAAATGAATGAATGAATGATTAAAAGGGCAATATCTCAGAGGAGCTAGGAGGTAATTCAGTCAGGGATACGAGTAAAGGGGATGGTTTTAGCAAGAAGATACACTTCTTCCTTGGAGACTAGAGCAAAGGAAAAAGAGAGAGAGAAAGAGAGAGATAATGTAGAAGAATTTCCAAGTGTGGAAGTAAGGAAGAAAAAAGAAATTTAGGTTGGATGCCCTCTATTCTCAGTAAAGAGGTGAGTACTCTGTGAGATGCTGAGAGAAGAGAGGAAAGAGGTAGTATATGGAGCTTGAGAGAGTTCGAGGTCATGGTGATAGCATAGTTATGGGTGATGTGGTCCGTGGTCTGAAGATTATTTGAGACAATGTAAAATAAATTAATTGCCTTACACAATAAACCTTACTACTTTTTACATATTTAAAAATATGCAGCAAATTTGCTGCAGTCACTTGTTTTATATGATTTGTCATTGAATTCACAAGATTTTGTCATATTCTTTATCATGAAAGCATATTTTTATCACGTTGTGATTATTCTTCCATTTCTGACTCTGCCAGCCAACTTCTTAGGATATACAACTGGAGGGGATTTTAGGATTAAAGTTCACATTTATGAAGTATCTACTATGTGTAAGACACTAACCACCCTTTTTAGGGTCTAGGAATACAAAGACAAAAAAAAAAAAACAGTCTCTGCTGTTAAGAAGCTTACATTTTGGTGGGGGTGTAGGAAGATAGAACACAAATCAACAAATAAAAAATTTGTATTAAGTAATTTCAGGAGGGAAAGTTGAGAAGTATGGCAGAGAGGGGAAAACAGGAAAGGCCTCACAGAAGAGGTGAGCCTTGAAGGAAGCAAGTGATCCTAAAAAAGTGCAGAGAGGGTATTGCAGATATGAAATACCCGTGCAAAACCATGGAGGTGGGAGAGAGAATATCATGGACAGGAACCAGCTAACAGGCATATTTGAATAGAACAGAGAGTGGGCAGGAGGAGGAGTTAGGGGAGTAATAGGAAATGAATCAAAAGCTAGATAGATGAGAACCAGATTGTGGAGGACTTTAAATACTCTATTAAGGTTTTTGTATTTCTCTCAGAAACAATAAGGATCTACTGAAGATTTTTGAGGAAGCTATTAACTAGGAAGTGATGTGGTCAGGTCATAGGATTTTAGATTTGGAGCTGGGAAGGACCTCGGAGTTCAGTCCCCTCATTTTCTAGATAAGGAAATTGAGGCCTAGAGAGGTAACGTGCACAGGGACATACAAACAGTAAGTTGATAGAACCAGGATTTCAAGTAAGATCTTCCATCTCAAATGTAGTATTTTTTCCCACTATTCTAGCTCCTGGCATAGTGCCTGAGATATAGTAGGGGCCTAATAAATGCTATTTGATTGATTATGCCAGGATGGAGTGGGAGCAGCAAGGTCCTACCCTTCTCCCAGCAAAATGAGGCCCTGTCTCCTCCCCCCCATCCTGAGTAGGCAACCACACCACTAGTGGCCTTGTGGTCTAGGAACTTTCCCAAGACTGCCAAGTGCAATGAGACTTTTTACTGCCCTATAGTAACCTATATGACTGATATCAAAGCCCCCATTAACGTCCCATAAATATGTAAAAATCGAAGCCCCCTGTCATGCAGTTGCTGACGTCATGCCATCATGCTTATCCCTTATCAGAGCTTATCCCTTCCTTATCCCTCTCCTGAGAGGGATCAAGCCTCCCACTTCTTGGTCTTGTACCCATAAAAAACCCAACTCTGCTCATCTAGCCAACCAACCGTCTCCTGACACTGCTTGGTTCTTTTTGCTTTTGCGATAATAAAGCTTTACCCACTGGGAAACAAGTCCAGTACGGGGTAGTTTTTACCTTTCAAACGTGCTCTCCCACTTCAAGGATAGTGAGAATATTGTCACTTCCTTTCTTGTGGGTTAAGTTGAATTGAAGCAAATGAGTAACTAAGCAGGAGACCAGCACGTAATCATGTAGAAAAGTCATAAAACTGGCTTTAAAAAAAACACGGTTCCTGCTCTCCTGGAGGGATGTAATATGTATACACTCAAATATAATACAAAATAGGTTCTAATGGAGGAAAGGAGACATCTAGATAAGTGCTCTAGGAAAATTTGAGGAGTTAAAATATGTTCAATGAGGGGAATCAGTGGCAACTGTGGAGGTAGCAGCTGAGTTGAGCCCGGGCGGAAGAGAAGGACTTCCAGGGATAGGGGCAGCCTGTGCAAATGCTCAGTCATGAGGTGTGTCAAGTTCTGGGGAAGAGCCTGGAGATCAGTGTTGCTGGAAGGTAACTGGAGGGGAAAGGAGCAATGCAAATACCTTGAAGGGTAAGTGTTAGCTTTAAAGGTCAGGTTTAGGGGGTATATATTTTATCCTTCAGGCAATCCAGTAGAATTAAATCTTGTAGGGAGCCTCTCAAGATTTTTTTGAGTAGGGGTATAACATAGTTAGATCTCTTCCTAAGGAAGATTATTTTGACAGAAGTATATAGGATTGGAGAGGGGAGAGAAGGAATTTGCTTTAAGAGGGTATTCAGTTGAGAGTTCATTCATTTAATGTTTGTATTAAGTGTAAGGCACTGCCTAGGCATTGGGGATACAGAGATGAAACCAAAAAATAGCCCTTGCCTTCAAGTTGCTTTCCTCTTTGGGGGGTTGGGGGGGAGGCACAACACAGGAGGATGCAACACTTAGCACAGATCAGTAAATATTACATCATTTGAGGAAAACACCAGTGAAAGACTTCCTGTAGGAAGTGGCAAAGGCTGGACTAGGGTGGGGACAGTGTTCCTGGAAAGAAGAATGTAAGATATTATGGAAATAGAATCTGTAAAACTTGCAAATAATTTGGATATGGAGGGTAAAGAGTTGGGAAGAGTCAAAGATGACAGCAAAATTGAGCCATGGGTGATGGGGAGGATGGTAATACCATTAGCATAAATAGGGAAGTTAGGGAGAAAGACAGATTTGGAGGTAGGCTTATTGGACTTATTGATCTTCAAGATCAGTGGAGCATCTGGAGATGGAGGTGCCCTGGAAACAGGTGGAGATGTGGGGCTGAAATTCTAGAGAAAGAACTTGACTTAATATTGATTTGGAATGATAACTCAAACTATGGGAGCTGATAAGATCACCACTGGAGAAAGTATAGAAGTAGTGAAAGGAGGGAGGGTACAACTTTGGTGAGTATCTATGGTTAAGGAATGGGGTAAGGATTAGGATTAATTAGGATTAAGGATTAGGAGGTAGTGAAAGAGACAAGAGACTGCTGGATAACCAATTAAGTAGCATTTATTAAGGACCTATTTTGTGCCTGGCAGTGTGCTAGGTGTTGGAGAAACAAAACAAAAATTAAACAGTTCTTGCCTTCTAGGAGCTTACCTTCTAAGGGAGAGGACAATCTATACATATTTAGGGTATGTAGTAAGACAAGACACAGACAGAGCAGACAATAACAGTTAGCATTTACATAGTACTTCAAGGTTTGCTTTATATTCCTGCAGAAGATGTGGTGGAGATGAGAAAGGAAATAATTCCTGGGCAACAGCAGATTAAAGGACACAGACTAAAGAGATGAAATGAGCCATCTTGTGAGAAACCATATATAGGCTAACTTAGAGAATAACGTGCAAGGAGACTGGAAAGGTAGGAATGGGCCAGGTTATAAAGAGTTTAAAATGAGATTTGTACCAAGTGCTTTGCAAAGTGCTATGTAAACATTTGTTATTACTAAATGCCAAGCATGTGATTTTATATTTGATCCTATCAGTATTTCTGTGGAATTTATTGAGTAGATAGGTGACATGGTCGGTTCTATACTTTAAGAAAATTGGTTTGGCATCTGTGAAGTGGGAAAAGTCAGGAAGACCAATGATGAGGACATTGCAGTAATTATAGGATCATATATATAAAGCTGGAAGGGACCTTAGAGGCTATTGAATCCAAGTGAGAGGTGACAAGGGCCTAAATGAGGGTTCTGACTGTGTGAATAAAAAGAAGGCTGTACGTATGAGACATGTTGTGGCAGTAGAAATGACCTTTGTTGTCTTATCCAATGTACTGGGTGAGGGAGAATGAAAAATTAAGGATGACGCTGAGGTGGTAGATCTGGGTAACTGGGAAGGGGCTGGTGCCCTTGATAGTCATATGGAAATTCAGAATAGGTGTGGGTTTGGGGAAAAAGATAGAGTTCTGTTTCATACATGCCTATGGAACATATAGTTCAAAATGCCCAGTAGGCAGTTGGTGAGATAAAACTGGAGCTCAGGAGGGATATTTGGGCTGGATATATGTAAAATTGCAGGCAGCTAGGTAGCTCAGTGGATAGAGTATTGGGCTTCTAGACAGGAAGACCTGAGTTCAAATAGGGTGTCAGATGCTTATTAGCTTTGTGACTCTGGGCAAGTCACAAACATCTGTTTGTTTTAATGAACTAGAGGAAGAAATGGCAAACCATTCCTGTATCTTTGCCAAGAAAACTCCATGGATGGTATTGGCATGATATGGTCCCTTGGGGTCACTAAAGAGTCAGAATTGGATACTGAACAACAACAAAGCATGTAGACCTAGGAATCATTTGCACAAAGATGTTGATTGAGCCCATGGAAACTGATGAAGTCACCAAGTGAGAAAGTCTAGGGAGAAAAGAGAAAATTTTCCAAACAGAACCCTGGGAGACTCCAGTACTTAGTGACTTTGCCCTGGATAATGATCCAGCAAAGGAGACTAAGAAGGGGCTATCAGATTGGCAAGAAGAGAACCAAAAGATCAGTATGAAAATCCATGAATATTCCAATTCAAATCATAAAAATCCAAAGACTAAAAAGAAAATCCAGTGGAAATGGATGGTCAGCTATGTCAAATACTGCAGAGAAGTCAAGAAGGCTGAAGACTGGCAAAAGATTATTTGGTTTTTTTTCTCTTTTTTTAATTATGAATTTGGTAGACATCAACAAATATCATTTCTATATGTAAAGAACTGAAAAAAAGAACTCCATATAAAAACGAATCTCACTTATGTATAGCTTGATTTTTAAAAAGTATACAATAGGGGCAGCTAGGTGGCGCAGTGGATAGAGCACTGGCCCTGAAGTCAGGAGGACCTGAGTTCAAATCCAGCCTCAGACTAAACACTTGACACTTACTAGCAGTGTGACCTTGGGCAAGTCACTTAACCCCAATTGCCTAAAAGTAAAAAAAAAAAGTATACAATACATTTAAAATGTTAATTCCATTACTGTTCTACTTGTTTGTCTGTGTTTCTAAACTGTCTTCTGTTGTATTCTGTAAACATTTCGTTAATTATCCTTTCTTTTTCTTATCTTTTGGCATCATTATTATACCACCACTCTTTCCCAACCCCCTAACTCCTAACAAATAAGTAAATTCCCTCTCCTGTAGCAAATGAGTAGTCAAAGAAAACAGGATCCATATATGGGCTGTGTCAGAAAATGTATGTCTCATTCTGCAGTTCTTCTTTACTTTCTCAAGTAGGAGATATGATTAAAATCCATCATCTATTTTTTGGACTTTTGGTTGAACATTGCATTGATCCTCTCAAGTCTTTTGTCTTTCAAATTGTCTTTCTTTACCATGTTGTAGTATAGACTATCTTCCTGGTTCTAAAAAGGCCATTTGATTTACCCTTGGTGACTTTGGACAAAGCAGTTTCAGTTGAGTGGTGAGGTTGTGGAAGCAAGGTTGTAGTAGGTTAAGAGAGTGAGAGGAGACAAAGTGGAGGCAGTAAGCACAGACTCCTTTCTTAAGGAGTTTGACTGAGAAAGGGAGGAGAAAGAGAAGCTGATTCCTTGTGTGGATAGTGGAACCTCATGAGAATTTTTTAGGAAAGTTGTTTCCTTCCTGTAAGCTAAGGAAGTAGATACTGTCCAGGAGGACATGGTCTTTAGTGGTGTCAAATAGCACAGAAAGGTATGACTCCTCCTTGTAAGAAATAGAAAGAGAGCTCTTTGAAGGAACTGAGCTGAAGGGAGGAGAGATAAGAGGGTGATGGCAGTCAGTAGAGGGCTTTTGAGAAAATCTTTGTATGTTTGTGGGTATCAAGGTAGTGCAAATGATGCTCCTTTGTTATCTGTAATCTCATGATACTTATGTTTCTCAGGACAATGGCCATGCAGATGCAATTTGAAGCTAGTGCAGACACCTCTGTGGAAGAAGAGAACATTGGCCCACAGCCCATTTCACGACTGGAGGTATGTACTCAAGATCTAAGTCTGGAATTGTATTGCTGGATTATATCGTGCTTACCTGATGAGAAAATCGCAGCTTTTATCTGTTCAGCTGGTTATCAACCTCAGGTCAGACCCAGATTAGGGTTGCTGAAGATCTACAGAAGGAACTTGAATGGTCTTCTATAAAGACTTAAAGAGGAAGCTGATCTAGCCAGGGCCATATCCTGGACAAGCCAGGAGGAAGAGAGCCTGCATTGGACTGGCAGGGACTTCTCTCCTTAGACTATTTATCCCTTTTTGGAGCAGCAGTGAGTATCAGCTGCAGAATCTGAGAGCCAGAGGGGGAAAGAGGTCCTCACTACTGTTGCTAGGTGACCAAACTGCTAAAGATCTTATAATCCAGGAACAGGGTGTAGGTGGTGCAAAGGCACACAGAGATGGGGGTGTGTGTGTGTGTGTGTGTGTGTGTGTGTGTGTGTGTGTAAATGTCACACAGAAATTTATGTTTGATGCTAGAAGCAAAAGGGAGCCACTGGAATTTATTGCTCAGGCATAACTGCCCCAAAGCTTGGCCTTATCTGAGGATGGAATTGGGATTTCTCATTTTGCAAAATTTGAAAGCTGGTGGGAAGGCTCCCCTTCGACATAAAATATCCCGCCTCACCTCATATGCAAGTTTTAAAAACTAGAAATTGCCCATTTCATTTCCCTTTTAGGCTTTAATATCAAAAAACATTGTTTTGGATAAAAGCAAGAAAAAGTTACAGGCACAAACCCATAGTTTTGTTTTTAAAAATTATCCTTTCTTGATGATGCAGGCCTATGTCTGATGTCTAAGATTTTTGAATTCATTATCAGTTATCTAGTATATGCTATTTTAAAACTGAATGTATTGTGATTATGCTTATAAAATGCAGAGATTTATAATTCATATTCTAGCACCTGATATTTGTATATTTTATGCTTTTCATAATTCTTTGCTGTACAGCAGTAGATCATCCCGGTAGCCTTAGGTAGGCCAGGTGTGATACCCAAATTACAGAATCGAATTGCAGAGGACTTCAGAGACCATCTAGACTGACCGGTCCTGTCTAGTAACCCTCTCTGAAGCACTTTCAGTAAGTGGTTCTCTAGTCTTTACTTGAAGCCTCTAGTGAGGGGCAATCTATAACTTTCTGGAGCATTCTATTCTAGTTTTGAATAGCTCTAATTACTGGGGAAATGTTCCTTAAATTGAGCCTAAATCTATCTTTTTATAAGGTCTATTGACCCTAATTCTGCCCTTCAAAACTAAATAGATCAAGTCTAATGCCTTTTCTACATGACAACTCTTTAGATAATGGAAGCCATCTGTCATGTCTCATAGGCACCCCCTCCCCCTTTCATGACTACCCTCAACGATATTTCCTGTTTTCTAGGCTAAACACCCCAGTTCCTTTAACTGATCCTCACATCTGAATGATATCCAGCCCCCTTCACCATCCTGGTCACTGCCATCTATATCAATGGTCTCCAAACCTTTTTGATCCCTATTAGTAAAAAAAAAAAAAAAATGAGCATATACTGCCATGTATGTATATTTACTTATTTATAAATATAAATAAATATATACACATTGGGGGGAGGGAATATGCTCAGGTTTGTTTGAGTTTTTTTAAATGTATTAATAGTGTGACATAATGGATAAAGAAGGTCTTAAAGACCAAAAGACATGGGTTCTAGTCCTGCTTCTCACTCTGGAAATTTAACTTCTCAGTGCTCTGGGCAGTTCTCTAAGACTAAGGTACAGAGAAGGTGCCAGACTGCATTCTAGAGGGAATTTCTTCACTAGGTTTAACCACATGAAAGCATCGGTCTACGCCCTGTACCTACCTGTATTACTGTACTAATAATGGAGGACTTTATGAAACTTGAGCAGAATAGATGAGATAAAGGTAAAATAATATTTGATCATAGAGTTGATAGGGAGCCCCTTATTAATTGAGTAGAGAAGTGAATGGTCACATGTGCTTGGGAAAATCACACATTGGCAGCTTAGATTGGAGAGAAGAGAGACCAATCAGGAGGCTCTTGCAATAGTCTAGGTAAGCAAAAAGGGGTCAAATGGGAGAGATGATGGACAGCAGAAATGACAAGATTTGATAGCTGATTGAATAGGTGGGCTAAAGAGTCAAAGATGACTCCATGCTTATAAATCTAGGTGAGGAGGAGGGTTGTATTTTCTACTACAATGTGAAAGTTTGGAAGAGGAGCAAGTTTAATGATATCTACCATGAATATCAAAATCTGTCAGCACCTACTCGACTTACTTAGCCCCACCCAGAATCAAAGAGAAGGCTGGGCTTTTACTCAGTCCCTGTTTCTTAGGAAGCGTGCCCCGTTAGGGTCTGCGACAACCGCCAGGTGACCTGGGGAGCCAGTCTCTACAACCTCTGTGAAGATACTGCTGTGACTACTTAGCAGTCAGATTATAACTGCTGTAAGAGGTTCATAATCTAGTTCTGAAAAGGTAGGAGGGGAGGACGTTGGAAATTTGCACCATAGATGGTCTACGGCTTGTGGATGGCCTTCCTAAGGCATGTCCAGAGCTCAGCGTAATATTCCCAAAACGTGGCCTAACTGGAGCAGAATAGTTAGATAATCATATCCTATGTCCTGTACACACACCAGTGGTGTAAAACTCAAATAGAAATGGATCCCTGTGGGCCACAGATTGACTCAGGAAGCCACAAATTAACATTAGCTATATTGTATTGTATTTTTATTTATTTTTGTTAAATATTTCCCAATACCTTTTTAATCTCATTCCAGTGGCAGGGTTGCCACCTCAGCTGTACACTAAGCCTCTTTTGATGAAAGCTAGGATTGCATTCACTTTCTGGCTCTATTGTACTGCTTTCTCATTGAACTTACTTAGACCACTAAATCTTTTTTTATGGAACTGTTATTTAGCGCCACATTCCCCATCATGTACTTGTGAAGTTGATCTTTTTTAACCCTATTGTAGAATTTTACATCTCATTAAAGTTCATCTTACTCGATTTGGCCTTGGATACTGACTCCTTTGTTCCAATTGTCAGATAAGGAAACTGAAGCCCAGAGACTTTAGTGACTTGTCTAAGGTCATTCAAACTCAGAGCTCTGGACTTCCAGCTCAGGAGGTTTTGGGTTTGTTTGTTTTCCCACTGCTCCCACAGCTTCTTTTGTAAACAAACAAATATGCAGTTTAGTCATTAAGTACTATGAGTGTAAATAACGTTCTGTTTTACAGTGACCATATTGTTTATTCTCAACTATGATCAGTATCTAACTAGGATGTGTTTGTGGAACTAGTTCTCTTTCCTTAATTGCTAATACTTCGTGCCAGCTTTCTTTCTGTGACTGCATTGTACTTTCTAAACTGGTAATAAGGGCTAAGTATTCAGTTTGCTCTGTAGAAGTGACTTCTGAAGGGTTAATGATAAAGCCATTTGAAATGGTTCTCTTCCCTTGCAGCAATGTGGCATAAATGCGAATGACTTGAAGAAATTGGAAGAAGCTGGATATCACACCGTTGAGGCCGTTGCCTATGCACCAAAGAAGGAACTAATAAATATTAAAGGCATTAGTGAAGCCAAAGCTGATAAGATCCTGGTAAGCACTACTCAATTGAACCAGGGAGGCATTAATGGGCTTTTCATTTGTAATTCACTGTTGAATTTGAGGGCTGAGTCAGTTGTTAAAGCTATCAATGGAGTAGATTGGTTAATTCTAACTTGTTATTAGTCCATGCTGGATAAGCTGTGCCCTCAGTCAACTTCCCCATTAGGAATTCTGATGACCTTCTTACTGCTTTCACATATCTGTTGATGTGAGTTCTGAAAAAGCTCTCTCCTCCCTTTGGGGCTCATTGTAATTTGCTTTTTAAGTATAAAACTCTAAGGATTATAGGCTGAGTTTGGTGGCTGAGTTGTATAAAGCTCTCTAAGCCTCTAAGAGGGAAGAATACGACAAAATAATTATAATTCTTGCTTCTAATCTTCCTGGTGGCAAATAAAACATCAAATATATCTTATCTTTCTGGGTATTGTGGCCTCACAGTTTAGAAAGCCATTTATTGATTTAATATCTGAATCTTGTATTTACTTAGCTCTGTATGGGTGTAATTCATCAATCTGGTCTTAGAGCCCATTCGACTTCTTGATGGTGAAAAGGGAATGTGATTTAAATGTGCCTGGTTTCATTCACCTTAATAAACTATGACAAATGACAGTCTTCCCTGACTGACTACATGTGAGGTAGTGACTTAATAATCCTTAACATTTATGTAGCATATTACATTTTAAAAATTCTTTTCATATCCATTATCTCTTGATCGTTACAGGAAACCAGGGTAGGACTTTCTTTCTTTCTTTTTTTTTTAATGGTGGAACCATAACCCACCATGACTGAGTGGTTTACCCAAAGTCACAGTCAGGCACTGGCAAACACAAGGCTTGAACTTGTCTCTTGGCTCTGTCCAGTACACCTTACACCACATTCTGCTATCCACCACTGATGGTGCCCTGTCACCGTTTTCACCTCTCTGACCCTGTTTCTAGGGTTTTAAAATTTCATTTCTAATGATATATTTCAGTGTTGAGTAAAATAACATAGAAGACAATGAAGAAGCACATGGTAGAGGTGAAGCAGGCTGAAACAAATGACAAATATGAACATGAAAAAAGAAATGGAGTTTAAAAATATAGCAAATATGTGACAAAAAAAGAAAATGGTGTGCATGGTCCTGTTGTGAGAGTAATCGGTGTTCCACTGATATCTTTGAGATGTCAAGAGAAATTAAAGAAGGCCCTCAGAATGTGGGTGCTTCTCCTCCCCACCTGATGGGGGGATGTTGATAAAAGTCACCCAGGATGGGCAGGAGTGGTGGGTTGAAATCTGCATTGTGTAAGAGAATTCTTAAATCTGTAAGATCACAGCTCCATTTGAGTAATAATGACCCCAAATAATTGTATTTTTTTTAAATGTATTTCTTCAGTATTTTACATCTATGTAGCATAAATCTAGGTTCTAGTCCTGTATTATGAAATCATATTTTTTCATTGTCTACAGTTATAACTTCAGAGACATTTGACCTTTTCCCTTACAAAAATTTCAGACATAATTTAAAAATCAAATCTTCAATACTGATATTCAGTTTAAGACCCATTTTCCCCTGTCAGCATGACATCTCTGCATTTAATTTCCCCACATAATCCTTGAAGGAATTTAGTTCACTTAATTACTGCACTCTCATTTAAGAGTGCACATATATTTAAATACATTAGTTAATTTAGCAAACATTTATTAAGCACCTGATGTGTTCAGAGAATTGTGCCACATATCAGGGGAGATTCAAACTTTAGCTAAGGTCTTTGCCCTGATGGAGCTTGCAGTATAATAGGAGGATGTGATACACACATAAATAATTATTATACATAAGTAAGTGCGCATTACGGAGCTATGAGCCATGTTAAGCCCTAGGTAGGGGCAAGACTACTCATCTGGAAAGTTTCAAAGAGGAAGTGGCATTTTAGTTGAGGTTTAAAGAGCAAGTAGAAATTCAGTAGGATGATTTGAGAGGAAGACATTCCAGGCATAAGCAAATGCAGGAAAACATAGAAAATGTATGTAGAATAATGCATAGTCCAGTTTGGCTTAAGCAAAGGGAGAGGAGTAGTATGAGAAAAAAGCTAGAAAGGGCAGTAGCCAAAAAAAAAAGGGAACCGAACCCTAATTAAAGTGACTAATCCTGACTATGAAGAAGAGATGAGATAATGCAGCTCCTTCCTATCATTGGAGAGGTGGGGGACTATGATTGTGGAACATTGCATATGCTGTCAGACTTAGTTAATATATTGGTGAGTTTTGCAGAATTGCATCCCCAACACCACCACCTTTTTTGTTGTTGTTTAGTTGTTTTTCAATTATGTCTGACTCTTTGTGACCCCTTTTGGAGTTTCTTGGCAAAGATACTGGATTGGTCCTTCTCCAACTTTTTTTTTTTTTAAATAATTCTTTGTTAAAAGAAATGACTCAGGGGCAGCTAGGTGGCTCAGTGGATAGAGCACTGGCCCTGAAGTCAGGAGGACCTGAGTTCAAATCTGGCCTCAGACCAAACACTTGACACTTACTAGCTATGTGACCCTGGGCAAGTCACTTAGCCCCAAATTGCCTAAGAATAAAAAAAAAAAAAAGAAATGGCTCTGTGTTAGGAAAGAGGAACTGATGGCAATGTAAAAACAAAAGATATCAATCAAAATCAGTTTTAAAGGTTGAGGGTGCGTTGTCAGATTGTATAGGCCCTTAAAGATAGAGTCTTTAGATTTACTTGGTAAGCAGTAATGAGCCACTGAAGATATTTGAACAGAAAGATGACATGAACAGATCAATATGTTAAAAAAAAACAAACAAAAAACCAGTCTGGCTGTGATATGAAAGAAGAATTGAGGAAGAAAAAGAGAGTAGAGGTAGAAATCATTTTTAGGATGCTATTGCATTAGTCCATGGCTGGTGTCCAGGAGGGGCTGGTACCTGAGTGGCTGTAGTAGAAACAGAGAAGAGGATCTCAGAGAGGTTGCAAAGGTAGAGTCAAATGGACTTGGCAATTCATTGTGTAAGAGAAGTAAAAGAGAGAAGGAAGAGTCAAAAATGACACCAGGGTTTTAAACCTTGGGACCTGGATGAAAGCTAGTGCCCCTGACTAGCATTAAGTCAAGGAGATGAGATTTAGGAAGATAATAAGCTCAGTTTAGGATTGTTGAATTTGAGGTTCCAGCAGTTCATCTGGGTGAAGATGCTTAGATACTTTGTAGGCAGGACTAGAATTCAGGAGAGGAGTCAGGACTAGAGATACAGGGTTAGGAGTAATCTGCGTAGATATGATAGCAGAAAACATAGTAGTGAATGAGGTTGCCAAAGAAAAGATTGTAGATAGAGAAATGGGCCAAGGAAAGAACCTCAGTAATCTTCACCTTAAGGAGCTGGAAGAGGAGGAGCTAGTCAAGGAGTAATTGAGGGGGGAAAATGGGGGGGAGGTATCCTTGAAATCAAGGGAGGAGAAGAGAGGGCCTAATAGGGAAAGCACCATAGGATCCTAGGTTTAGAACTGAAGCTTAGAGAAACCACAAAGGCCACCCCCTCTCATTTTACATATGAGGAAACTAAGGTCAAGAGAGAGGAAGCAATTTGCCCAAATTCACAAAGGTAGTAAATTGGGATTTGATTCCAGGTTCATGACAGCTAGGTGACACAGTGAATAGAGCTCTGGGCCTGGAGTCAGGAAGACTCATCTACCTGTGTTCAAATCTGGCGTTAGACACTTGCTGTGTGACTATGGGCAAGCCACTTAACCCTGTTTGCTTCATCTGTAAAATGAGCTGGAGAAGGAAATAGCCAACCACTCCAGTATCTTTGCCAAGAAAGCTCCCAGTGGGGTCACAAAGAATTGGACAGTACTGGAATGACTGAACCACAACAGCAAGAAGGGTGGTTGTACTCCACCTGCCTCTGATACCAAATCCAGCAAACACCTTTGCAGCTGTAGCAAGTAGACCGTTTAATGTTATCATGATGTCAAGGAAAGTGAAGACTGAAAAAAGGCCAGTAGATTTTTCAGTCAGAAAGTCATTGGTGTCCTTCAGAAGAGCAGTTTGCTACTTTGTGGGAATTTCTGTTTCTTGAGCCTTCAGTATTGAAGCATTGTTCCAGCTCTTACTCCAGTTATTGAATAAAACATGATAGCTGGAGATATTGAGAGTATAGGCAGTGTAAGCAGTTTCTAATTTGAATTCTACGTGTAAAGATGTTACTATCCCTTGAAATGTGGAGTTAGTACTGCTATCAAATAAATGTTTGTTGAAATAATGCTAATTGAAAATAAAAAGGTTCCAAGTGCTTAGTGCCTCATTAAAAGAATATTTGTAGTATTGACTGGGCCAGCAGGGGTCTGTGAAATACGTTTGCTCCTTCTCTCTGGGCACCAGCTTCTGTCAGTGAGCAAATTTCTGCAGGCGAGCTTCAAATGTGCATTGTAATACTTTAGATGTGCAGATCACATCACTGCTATTGCTTTATTAAGTGCATAAATCCAAATCTCTACTAAATGAATATGTGCAAAATTATTGTGGTGTCAATATAGATTGACCTACGTGTACTTTTAGATTTTTGTTTGCATTGATGTCAGCCATTTTATATTGTGAATGACTCAACAGCAAGGACCATGCTTGTCTTGTTTGCTTTTGGGTTGTGATGATGGCTTGTCCATTCACAATTAAGACATTTCCCTTCTTAGGGTCTTTGGGTCCCAGTCTTTCAGAAGTAGGACTGTTATCATAGTGTCAATATGAAGAATGCATAAATACCAAAAAAAAAAAAATCTTTTTTTTTTTTTTTTTTTTGCCGCTGCTTCCAAAATATAAAAACTTGAAATCAGAGTAGTTATGAGGGATATATTAAAGACCTCATGGAATAGCTGCCAGATTCTTTCATGGAAATTTATCTCCAAAGTCTGACTGTAGTAATTTTCAGTTCGAAGTTAAATTAAATTTTCCTTAAATAATAATTTGCTAGTACATCGGATTTGTACTGATTGACTCAGCATAGTAAAATTTCAGTATGTAGTATTTCAGTATGATTCTGCTCTGCTATTTACAGCTGTCATGTCCGAGATTTTGCAAGTCTCCTGCAACTTAAGTCTCAATACTTTTACTCTTCCTACCTTGCAGAAGATAGAAAATAGATTTTGAAACTCAGAAACAAATTAAGAAATTGGAGACATACCTCTCTCCCAGGTGGATATCTTCATTCTGATCTTTAATTTGGGGAGAGTATCTTGTTATTTGAAAGCTGTAAGGAACATAGAGGTTGAAATTTAAGGAAGAAGTGACTAAAATTCTCTGAGAGATTTTATTTTATCTTAAAATTAATCTCCTGTAGTCCTGGAGATTAATTTGTGTTTAAATTGCATAATCAATAATTCTTTCTTGAAATTGTAGTATTTGGGTAGTTTTTGGAGAAGATTCAGGAATGATGTCCTGTATTGGTTATCTTTCCCATCTATGCTATCCCAGTTTGTCTCATGTACAGCTTTAGAATGACTTAACTTCCCGTCTTCTCCATTTTTGCCAGGCTGAGGCAGCTAAATTGGTCCCAATGGGTTTCACCACTGCAACTGAATTTCATCAGCAACGGTCAGAAATGATACAGATCACCACTGGCTCCAAAGAGCTCGATAAGCTACTACAAGGTGGTAACCTCTCAGCCGTGTATTTTGGACTCTTGTGGGGGAGGGGAATGACAAGGAGGGCAAAAGTAGATCCTAGAAAGTACACTTTGGCTTGTTATCTGTTTTCCTGAGAACTATGAAGAGGACTTCTATGATGAAAGGGTAAAGATGCTGGAAGGAAGAACCTAGTGTTCTACATGAAACACAGGAGCTATTTGTGATTACAGGGATTATTTGAAAATCATTCTTATCAACAATCATTTATTGAATACCTTCTGTATGTCAGGCACTGTAGTTGGCACTGGGGATACAAAGACAAGATGAAAAAAAAAATAAAGAAATCAAGTATTTAGTTTAATAGTTTGAGAAATTCAGAGCCAATAGGATGGGTAGGAAGGAAAAAAAAGAGGATTTTTGTTGATTCAAAAAAAGTTTAAATAAAAAAAAGTTTAAGTCACCTCCTTGAGCCAATATTTTCAATTAAAGCCTCTTACTATAATTTTAGTTCCCAAGCTGAAATATTGTGGTTGATTAAAATCCTACCCAGTTTTCTTGCCCTCATCTTGTCCTTTAGGGTACTGGATATAGAGTCAGACACCTGGATTTGAATCCTGGTTCTGTTACTTACTGCCTACTTGGGCAAGTCATTTCTTCAATTTCCTTACTTTTAAGATGGGGATTTCATTACATCATCTCTAAGGTCCCTTTCAGTATTCAGGCCTATGACGGTTGGAGTCACTAGGGCACGGGGATATAATCTAGTCATTTCAGCTTCTTGGAGAGCTATAGTTATCCTGAATCTGCTCACTCTTGAAAAGAATGTTGTTTTTCCAAGTTGCTACCTAGTCAGGTCTGACTTTAGCCATTTCCTTATCTATTCCATCACTCATTTCTTTTTTCATTCTTTGCTTACATAATCTTTGAGGGCTTCAACTAGATTTGTTACATATCAATACTCTAGAGGTAGTATCCTGGATGGATGGATGGTTGAATGGCTGGATGGATGCAGAACTTTCATTATCTCAGTTCTGTACCTGTTATCTAGGTAGACACATAAGTAAATTCCTAACTTAATTTTTAATGTGGTGTCTGTATATCTTTTATTGCCCCTTTAGGTGGGATTGAGACTGGGTCCATCACAGAGATATTTGGGGAATTTCGAACTGGGAAGACACAGATTTGTCACACACTGGCTGTAACCTGTCAGGTGAGTAAGTGGGATCCTGATAAGTCCTGGGTTCTAATCCTCAGGCTTACTTTGTAATGTCTCTGGGCCTTAGTTTTCTTACTTGCAAAATGACAGAGTTGAACTGAGAATGATATCTAGGATCCCTTATAATTCTAAAATCCTATGATCCTACAACCTTAAATTATTGGAAAGGGAGAGTAATACAGTATTTATTATTAGTGGTATCACACTTGGAGATATAAATTAATTATATAAACTAATGAGTAAATTCAATCCAAAGCAAGTAAAAGGATAGTCAGACTTGTTAGTGTCAAAGTTGACTTTGATCTAAGGGAGCCAGGGTAGGCTTTGACTACATGAAGATTGTTCTACAGGAGGACTGTGGAAAATTGGGCCAAAAATGGATTCAACAAATGTGGGGTAGAATCCCCTGAGACAGGGAGAAAGGGTTGGAATGAGCTTGAGATTGGCATCTCCTGTACCAAGAAGTATGGGGATACGTCCACTAGGCAAGCCGTAAGAAACGAGTACAAATGTTTCTAAAAAACAAACACCCACCAAGAAGTCAGCCTACTAAGATCAAGTCTGCCAAGATAAATTGCTTTAAAAATCTACCAGCCCTTCCTCACCAAACCTATTTCCTCATTTGTAAAGTGAAAACTTTTCAGGAGAAATGATGTCATCTTCAACCTCTGTTCCTTTGGTCTCACTCACTCACTGACAATGTTCTTGCTGACCATGTATAAGCACAGTCCTGAGCAGTGTGGAAGAGGAGCTGCTGGCCTGTGGAATTTGGGTTTCTTCTCTAAGGTTGTAGAAAGCCATTTAGAAGACAAGAGGAATATGATCAAAGTCCTTTTTAAAAGGAAGCTGATTTAGGCAGTAGTATTCAGTTCATTTCATTTCAACCATCATGCATTAATTGGTAATTTGCTAGGCATTGGGGCTACAAAAAGCAAAAACAGAACACTTGTGGAGCTTACAGTGTATTGGAAGGATAGAGCGTGTTAATCATCAGCAAGTATTTATTAAGTGGTTGTCGTGTGCCAGGCATTACCGGGCACCGGGGATACAAATACAGAGAATGAAACAATCCTAGAGGAGACAAGTACATGGAAAAATATATGCAGCATAAATGTAACACTAATAAATACAAATATACACCAAGTAGTTAAATATGAAGTATATTGGGAGGGAGGGCATAAGTAAATATAAGATGATCTAAGAAAGGAGAGACCAGTAATGGGGAAGATCCAAAAGAGGTGTTGTCTGGTAGCCAGGAAAAGCCACAGCTGGCTCAAGCCAAGTCTCAGGGTAGGAGTTAGAGTGCTTGGCAAACAGCGAGTGGCCAGCTTGCATAAAGAGGAATAATATGGAATAAATTTGAAAAGGTAAGTAGGAGCCAGATTATGAAGGGCTTTTGAAAAAAGTTGTTTTGGGTTTTTTTAACACTACAGTCCCTTCCCAAGTAAAAGCCTCCTTTATTACAGCAAAAAACATGAAACCTGGCAGTGAGTCATTAAAGCATTTATTAAGTGCTTACTATGTGCCCCGCACTGTGCTAAGTGGGGATACAAAGAAAGACAAAAATCGTATCTGCCCTTAAGGAGCTTGCATTCTAATGGGAGAGACAATAAGCCAAAAAAAAAAAATTGTATGTACTAGATATATACAGTGTAAATAGAAGGTAATCTTAGAGGGAATGCACTGGGTGTGGGGGGGTAAGCCTGCCAAAGGTCGAATTTGAGGTGAGTCTTGCGGGAAGCCAGAGAAGCCAGGATGGGGGGTTGAACACATCAGGCATCAGGGAAAACCAGTGGAAAGGTTGAGAGTCAGAGCTCGAAGGTCCTATGCAGGGAACAGCAAGAAGGCCTCTGTCATTGGAGGAGAGTAAAGTATGAGAAGACCAGAAAGACTGGAAGGGGCCAGGTTGTGAAGGGCTTTAATTGCCAAACAAAGGACTTGATCATTGATCCTGGAGCTAATATGGAACCATTGGAGTTTATTGAGTACGAGAGTGACAGGATCAGACCTGTGCTTTGGAAGGAGCAGCTGAGTGGAGGTTAGATTGGAGTAAGGACACACTTGATGGGTGACAAACCAGAAGACTATTTGCAGTAGTCCACCTGAGTGGTGGTGAGGGCCCACCCCTAAGGGATATGGGAGTTGAAAGAAGGGAGTATATATGATGGTTGTTGTGAAAATAGAGAGCCAGCTTATAGAGGCCTTGGTGGAGGGCTTTAAATTGTAGGCCTTGAGGAGTTTCTGTCATATCTTCAAGTAGATAAAGAGACTCATTTGATCATTACAACAACCTTGTGAAATAGGAACAATTATTAATCCTAAGAAACAGTAGCATGAAGCTTCTGTGTCATGGTTTCAGTACTGACAAATTAGGTCTCTGTCAATAGTAACACCCCCACTCCCTCACCCTGAACAAAACAAAAAATGAAAACAAACTCCCAACCTGTACATCTTCATACATCTTAATATTTTTTGGTGGGGTAGAAGTCTTTGCTAATTAAAAAAAATGTGCTAAAGGGAAAAAGTAGATAAAAGAGATATGAAAGATGAGGGAGAACATAAAAAAGAACTGTTAGGCTGGGTCTCAAGCAGGGAGATGATGTGATCAGGGGCATCAGTGAGAGGGTTTGGCCTTGACAAATTCTTCCTTGAAGACTATAGAAAACGAGTAGAGAGTGGGAATGTAGAGGAGTTTGTTTGTTTGGCTAGCTAGGCAATGGGGTTAAATGACTTGCTCAGGGTCACAGAGCTAATAAGTGTTATGTGTCTGAGTCTGGATTTGAACTCAGGTCCTCCTGACTCCAGGGCCAGTGCTCTATCCACTGCGCCACCTAGCTGCCCCCCCATAGAGGAGTTTTGAGCTGTAGAAATGGGGGGGATCAAAGTGTGTGTCCTCATATTTTCTCAGTAAGTTATAGGTAAGGTACTCTGAAGGAAGAACTGCTCATAATGATGATATTGTAGTTAACAAAACATATTTTCTTGTGCCAGTGTTACTTTGTATTATAGTTAGAATTGGTATATGCCAGGGAATAGAGAAACAAATTCCATGAGTATCCTCAGTTTTCATAAAATCCATTTTTAATACAATACACATCTGTGTGTGCCTAAAGTACAAAGCCACCAAGAAGTGCAGGTGGTATAACTATAATTTAGTAAGATTGAGTTCTACAAACCACACAAGAAAAGTAAGTGTTCACCTCTTAACTCAGCTGTTTTCAGCTCACTTAAAGGTCATTTTGAAACTGGAAATTTCCCTCCTTGGTTGCCCCAATATTTTATTTGTTACATAGCAAAAGTAGTCATTTTCTCTGGGATGACAGCAAAATGAGGATTTTAGTGACAGTATGACCTTCAAATTCAAAAATTTATTTCAGAATTAACTTCCACTGCTGATTTGATGAGGAGGGCCAGGCCATGTTTATTTCCCCTCATGTGTGATTGATTCTGAGCAGGAAAGGGTTTGGGGAATGGAGGGAAGGAGAGCTGTAGAAAACCTTGAGAATAATTTAGAGGGACTTGAGGAAAAGGAACAAAAGGAAAAGAAAAAAAATGACGTTCTTTTCATTTGCCCAGGTGCCATTTGGAAATTGGCAGCTAGAGGGAAATAAAGCTGTTTAAAATGACACCCTTAATACCAGGGTACCGTTTATAGGTCCTCTGGCATTATAGGTGACCTTTTAAATAGTAATGTTTTCCCCATGTTGTTTTGACAGGGATTCATGCAGAATAAATATTTAGAGTACAGTACACCCTGTCCATGGTTGCCATGGCAACCAAGCATGTCATGCTGACGTTCTGAAGTTGTATAAACAGAATCCCAGGCTGGGAATGTTTACCGAATGGTCAGCTTATGTCTGCCAACGATAAAATGAAGCAAAATTCTCATGTAAACATATCCTGTCTATAAAAATAACAGAATACTCACAGACAACTGAATACCTAACTTAAAGCCTTTGATTTTATCCAAAGAAAATTAATGCTGAGCCCTTAGGTAAATAATAATGGCTATTCACATTTTTGGAGTAGCGTAAGAAATATTATCCCCATTTTACAAATAAGGGAAATGGAGCTCAGGTAGGGGAAGTGGCCTGGCCATGGCCATGCCGCTGATTTGTCTCGGAGCAAAGGAAGCAGCACAGTGCCCTGGAGAGTCCGAGGACCTAGGTTCAAATCCTGCTCCACCACTTCCTCTGTGTAAGTGTGGACAAATCAGTCTCCCCCCATCTCTAAATCTGAGATCCTGTGATTCCTAAGACCACACTGCTCCTTTCTTTCTTTCTGTTATCCTGCCAATAATAGAGGGCATGGGTACTTGTCCCCAGATCTTTGGGCACATCTGAGTATTTTTTAATGCTTTCTTGGTACTTTACTTTCCTCAGCAACTTAGTGACAGGAGAACCCTATGGGGTGATGGACCCCTCACCTATTGTGGAATGGGGTAAAAGCAGTAAGCTCCGGTTGAAGTAGTAAAATGGACAGATTGTTCTTGTTTTTACCACTGGAGCTTCTCAGAGATACTATGGTGTCTGGCACAACATTGTAAGGTGGGTGTAGAGAGGTATGGAGATGTACCCCAATTAAGCCCCCAAGGCAGTCCTGGATGGCACCCTCTATGGCACCTTTTCTGTCTTCTAGTTCTCCTTTTTTCTCCCCCTCCCCACCTTTCTTTCTGCTCTGCCTATATTTTTTAATTGTTCTGTTACTATTTCTTAGACATTTCTAAACCCTATTGGGGACCCCTTGTTACCAAATTCTGCTCAGTGGAGTGGAAATAAACATTGTTCTAGGGTTGGTAACATGGGCTAGATACATTCCTAAACTACAGTGCATAAAACCAGTTATTGCATGATTCAAGGGTCCTCAAATCCCCAAAATAAATTTTGGAGAAATAGTTTAGGAATAGATCATGGCCTAGCCCACTGTCCTGTTATGTGGCCCCAAACCCAGCCCAGCCCTAAATCAAACCGAGGAATTTTAACTTAATCTCCTCTGCAATAACAACATTTATACTTTACAAGATTTGTAATTTCAGTAAGTAAAAAAATCTATGATTTTGTTTATAAATGTTTTCCTTCCATTGACACAAAATGTAACTAGCTCCTTAATGCCTTAGGACAGGGGTGGGGCCACTTGAGAACTTTTGTTCTGTGAAGTTTGGATTCAAAGGGCTGCACTTGAGGACCTAGAGGAGCCCACGTGTGGCCTCGAGGCCGCAGGTTCCCCACCACTGCCTTAGAGGATGATTTCATGAGTTACTATAACCCAAAAAAATTCATTACCTGGTGGCCATATAGTTGACAAGTCTGTCAAAACTTCACCAGGCACAAGCCCTCAGATGACAGAGGTATCTGGGCCCATTTGAGAAATGCTCCACTGTCACAGTCTTTAAGAACTCAAGTGTAGTTCTACCATGTATGTGGTTCTTGACAATTGGTACAAGACATTAATAAGCCAGTGGTTGGCCTGGGGCAATTTAGTCTCAAATATCAGAAATACTTGGCTGTAGTTCATTTTTACTGTTGTTTATTTTTCATTTTCTTTAGCTCCCCATAGACCGAGGTGGTGGTGAAGGGAAGGCCATGTACATTGATACTGAGGGAACCTTCCGGCCAGAGCGATTGCTGGCAGTGGCTGAAAGGTAGGCTTTTGTTCTGAAGGTGAGGACTGTCTGCCTGTGATATTTAGCATCTCGTTAATCGCTGGGGTTGATTCAGCTGATCTGGATGGCTAGGTGGCTAAGTCCTTTGGCTTCCCTTGACTTCTCTAGGGGTTTCCCTCCCAAAGCTGTTCAGATGTCATTCTTGGTATGAGGAGGATTTTCCCTATAAAAGAGATAAAGGGTTTTTTTTGTTGTTGTTGGGTTTTTAGGGGGTTTGGGGGGTTTTTTTGTTGTTGGGTTTTTGTTGATCAGGGCAACTCTGCTTTCCATCTAGAATCTTCAAGTCAGCTCACAAGCTTATTCTGCACATCACCTAGAATGTAATTCATAGTCACATCGAGGATCATTTTTGTCTTGTCACCTGAAGCCTTCGAACTCCATCCAGTTCTCTAGCTGTAGTCCTACATTGATACAAATGCAGCTGGTTACACCCTTGTAGCTGTGGGGTTTATGGAGAAAAAGTGACTGAAATTCCCTCCGATTTAGGGAGGGTTTGTTTTTTTTTCCACCCCTCTTTGTCCTTTAGTCTGAGCCTAAGCCATAAGGCAGTATCACTGAGGCACAAATTAGCTGGGCTATGGTTGCATCATTTCAGACTGTTATCTCAAATCCCACAATTCTTTGCCAGGTCAAGAAACTAGGACAGATTTCCCCTTGGTAACTTTTGTTTTAAGGAGATATATATTTCTGCAGTGGATTATCCTTCCAGAAGTGACAGCACCCATACAAGAAGATCCTGCTCCAAGATCATAGTTGAAGAACTTCATTTTAGCTGTCTGGAATTGCCCTTTAGCATATTATGGGTTAGGCTTTGGCGGATGTTCATAAATTGTGAACAAAGTTTAGGAAATTTGTTCATTTGGACCGTTTTTTGCAATTCTGTTGCCTAATAAAATGGTCTTTAATTATGAGGGGCAGCATGGTGCCCTTGGCTTGGAGTTAAGCCAGAGATGTGGGTTTGAATCTTGTCTCAGACACTCAATAGCTCCATGACCCAGGTGAGCTGTTTCACCCCGATGAGCACCCAAATAGAGTCAGGGACATTTGTACTGGCTGCTTTCCCAAGGTGCTTGTGCTTACTCTGTCAGCCTTAAAGTGCTACATAAATGTGAGCTGGTGGAGGTCATTCATATTGGTATTATTATATTCATTCCTTCTTGTTAGGAAAATTTGTCCTGCTTGAATTTCATATGTTTGTGTTAATTGTATACGCCTTGCCTCTATCAATAGTTCCTCAAAATGGGCTTTGTAAAGTAAGGCCCAGGGTCTGCTTAAGCTAATGTGTGATTATTTTTCACAGAAAAAGCATTGAGAGTGCCATAATTAATACATTTGCCAACACTGTTTAAGTACAACCTGTTATTTATGAATATTAACCCAATTCAGGCTATTATGGCATAATTTTCCTGTGTTGTATGACAACCTTTTCTCACGGAACCATTATGAGTTCTCTTTAACCAGAGAAAGAGCACCCTCTTGTGGCAGTAGAGGGTGCTTATTTCCAAGAAGCCACTCCCAATTAAGGGATTTAAAAATCATAGGTATCTGGAGCCTAAGATCCTGCAGGAGGGTGGGGAGTGTGTGGGAGGGGGAGCAAGAAGAATGCTTTCCATTCTCAGTAAACCTTCTGTGGCCCTGTAAGGTGAAAACACTCTCCCAATATTGCTAGCAAATCATCTCAAATATTTTCTGAGCAATAAAGATTGCTCACTGTATTATAGTGAACAAGAGGGAAAAGTAGAAACTTCCTCATTCATTTTTATCCACCTTACCTGTAGTTTAAATATGGGATAATTTGTCTCTTCAGAGGGAGGTTTTTACCTTATTAGAACATATCGAGGTAGTGTTGCAGGTTGGTGTGGTTTGGCCAGAACCCCAAAGTGACTCCCTAGTTCCTCAGGCCCTGTCATACCTAACAGCTCACCCTCACCTAGTGTGTTCAGTGCTTAACATGAAAAGCCTGCAGATGGGGTTTAGCTCTCAGCTAGATTTTTTGATTAATGGCAATTGGTAGTATTAGAGCGTTGCTCCATTGATATTCCAGCTACTTCATAAGGTGCTAGAATATTCCTGGAATGATGAACAAATACTGTGTTATTCGCAGAGAAAATAAGGACTTTGGGAGCCAGTGCTCTCAAAGACAAGTGTGTGTCTCAGTCAGGACCAGGATTCCCTCCTGCAGGACACATTAACTGCTGTCTCAGATAGTGGCAGAATTAGGAACAGAAACCTTTCCCCAGTTCGGTATTTTGTGGAGATACTTCAGTGGCTGCACGGTATATGGGAGGGAGTGGAAAGAATGCTGGATTTGGAACCAGGAGAGAGAGACCTGAGTTCAAATTCTGCCTCTGGAAGTTACTAACTAGGTGACTATGGGCAAATCATTTAACTCCTTTGAGTTTCTTTGAGACTCGATTTCCTCATTTTAAAATGAGCCTCACAGAATCTAGTGCCTAGATCAAATGAGATAATGTATAAAAAAGTGCTTTGCAAACCTTAAAGCACCATATAGATGAATGAAAGGGTATTTAATACCCACTATGTGCCTGAGAATGCAAATATAAAAGTGAGATAGTTCTTGCCCCTTAAGGAGATTACATTCTTTACAAAAAAAAATTTTTTTATCCTGAATTTAATGAACAGCAAAAAAGGAAAATATTTTCATATACAAAATCAAACTTTAAAAAAGAAGATCCTAGGTAAAAATGTGAATCTATTACATATAGCTTGTCTCTTTTCCTCTCCACTTTATATACTTTTAGTTTTCAACATCCACTTTTTTGATTTTGAGTTCTAAATTTTTCACCCTCCCCAAGATGGCATGCAACCCGATATAGACTAAACATATACAATCTTATTAAACATATTTCCACATTAGTCTTGTTGTAAAAGAAGAATCAGAACAAAAGGGAAAAATCATGAAAAAGAAAAAAGAGAGAAAATAGTATGCTTCAATCAGCATTCAGACTCCATAGTTCTTTCTCTGGATGTGGATATATAGCTTGCCTTTTTAAAGAGTATTTAATAACTCCAACATCTTAAACACAATCCTTAAAACAAATAAGCTTTGTCAAGCAAAACAAATCCTCACATTTGCCAAAAATGTATGTCTAATTCTGCCCCTTGGGTCCATTGCCTCTCTGCCCGGAGGTAGGAAACATGCTTCCTCATTGAGTCTCTGAAATTTCTGTTAGCCAGTGTGTTGAACAGAGTTCTTAAGTCTTTCAGAATTGTTTTTCTTCACATGTTGACACTGTATAAAGTATTCTCCTTGTTCTGTTTGCTTTACTCTGTATTAGTTCATACAAATCCTCCCAGATTTCTATGAAACCATCCCTTTTGGCACAGTAAAATTCCATCACATTCATATACCACAATTTAATCAACCATACCCTAATTGATGGACATCCCATTTATCTCCAGTTGTTTGCTTTAACAGAAAGAGCTGCTATAAATATTTTTGTACATATGTATCCTTTTTCTGTTTGATCTCTTTGGAGGTGTAAGCCTAGTAGTGATGTCACTAGAGCAAAGGGTATGCACAGCTTCATCACTCTTCAGAGCAAATTACTTTGTAATAGGTAGAATAACACATACGGGGAAGGAGTTTTGATTTGGGGAGTCACAGGAATGGCGAGTTGAGCCAAAGGGCAGGTGATTGTTTTGCTCTTTTCAGAAGCAGTGCTAGTATGGATTTGTTTACTCGTCATAGCACAAGAGGTGGAAAGCTGGAGGCAGGTACATGTGTGGTGGCAAAGCAGAGCAACGCCCCAGGTGTAAAGGGATGGGTGGAGGGATGGGAGGAAGTCTGAGGCTGCCAAGATAGACAGGTCTGGGTGAGTGTGCACTCAGCAAACACGACAGTTATTACTTTATTAATGTAGGTTCTCCAGTGATATGAATGGCAACCCACTCATGTGTGATTCTCATCCGTGTCCTTCCATGGAGGATCTGTCTCTTGTGTAAGGGACCTTTCTCTGATTCTTTTCATATTTCATGGATATCAGTGCAATGCATAGATTGTCCATTTGTTACCAGCTACTCTCACTGCATGACCAAAGGAGGTGGCCATCTCCTTTTCATAAATGCCTTTGAAATTTTTATACCACTTTCAAACAGATCAGAATTGGTAACCACTCATGTATATTTGTCCACTGCCCTTCTACTCATCTGCTAACTTGAGTCTTCTGGACTGTTTGTTGTTCTGTGATAGGCAGCAATATAGCTTAAATAGAAGAATATTGATGTTAAAAAAAACATGCTTTGAAGTATCAAGGAGCAGTGTGTGAACCTTGTAAGTGAGGCACAGATTCCCAGATGTTATCTAACCCACTCTCTGTCCTTTACTCAATCTGAACCCAGCTTATTTGTCTAGCTCTAAAGCCTGTCCAAGAGCTATGTAGTGAATGATGAACTAATAACTCTCAATAGGTTTTCTCTCTAATTGCATATGTCATAATCAGGGCAATATGTATCTTCATCTGCTTGTCAACCATAGCTAAACGACAATCTGGAGGGTCTCATCGTCAGTAAGAAATCTAAGCATTTGGGGCTGCCCTAGCATATCCATTACTCTTTCAATAATCAGAGGATCATTAAACAAAGGGATGTTTATGTGGTATTGTCCATCATTGTTTTCAGTTTCATTTTATTTTTGTTTACCCTAGTGGGTATGTTTTTTTAAATTATCTTTTTTTATTATTGTGAACTTGACATATATCAAACAAGTGTGTTTCCTTGCATAAAAGAAAAACAGGCTTATGACACTTTGAATCTGTAATGTACATACAGCATATTACATTGATGTTCTTTTGTTTTCTTTTGCATCAGTATCATTATTCAATTCCCTTCTCCTAAGAAAAACTCTTTCTTAACAAATAAGTGGTCAAGCAAAACAGATTTGACTGTCCATCTGAAGATATGCATCTCATTCTGTCCATTAGTCCATCGTCCCTTTGCCAAGAGATGGGAAGCCGGCCTCCTCATCAGTCTTCTGGAGTCATGCATGCTCATTGTGTAAATGATTCCCTTGGTTCTGCTCATTTCCAGTGGTGGGATCTTGTAATTGCCCTACTTCTCTTATCAGCTGTATGACAACCTTTGGCTTGCTAAAGAGATTCGCCTCTGAAAACCTGCCTGTTTTGTGTTATCTTCTCATATTTTTCATCAAAGACACTACCAGTCAGTGTATAGGTTGTTCTTATAAAGATTTCATAGAGATGGAAAAGATAGGGTGTCAGTGGTTACTGCTACCATCAGTCAATCAGCAGGCATTTATTAAGTGCCTACTATGTGCCAGCATCTGGAATTAAGCTGCTTCTTGGATGATTCTGTATTGTTTTGCTAATTGATTATTTTAATTTGTAGTCTTAAGGTACTACTTCAGTGAATAAGGTCTTTAAAATCAGAATGATCTGCAAGGAAATGATTCCCATTAAGGCACCACGTGTAAATGAATAGCTATTTCTATATCAGAAGAGAATTTGTTAGTTGTAGCTCTTACGGCATATTTTTTTGCTCTCTGAAGTGGAAATGGTTATGGTAAAAGTGAATATGATTTTAAGAAACAGAATGTGCCTCATTTTCCCTTGTGTTTAAAAGGAGGCAGGGGTATGCTTGGGTGATAATCATTTATTGAGCCCCAATAAAGTGTCAGACTCATTTATCCGAATGCACACAGTGGGAGCCTTAAGTGTGATCGAAGTCACACTCAGAAGTTGTAAAATCTCAAGTGTTATTTGTGCTTCTGAAACAAAATAAAGTTGATTCATTCCTTCTAGTCACCCTCACCCTCTTTGCTAGTGATAGCTGGATTTCCTTCCAGCTGATGATAGTTTTAGTTTCTATCATGCTTAGGCTGTTCCTCTTCTGGTTTGAGAGCACTCTCGTCTAAATTCTGAGAGGGCCCTTGACTTCCATTGCTTTTGAGTGACTGCTTGGTGGAGCCTAATGTGCAGAGCAGCATCTCCAGATTCCCTTCTGGATTAGCAGTTTAGGGATTTAGTCATGAATTTCAAAATTGTTTCTATTTCCATCTGTTGGAGGGGATTGGAATTTCCTGGCCTGAATTTCAAGGAAAACACAGCAGTACTTCTTGGCAGATCTGCCTGCTTTTGAAAGTATGCCTTTGGGTGTAATTAGTCCAGGAAGAAATCTTTCCTCTGACCAGATAGAGGATGCAGCCTTTCAGACCAGCTGTAGAGTCAAAGAATCCTGGGCTTCAAGTGCTCTAACAGCCCCCAGGTGTATAGTGCTTTAGGGGGGACAAAGTGCTTTTCTGCACAGCTTCTCTATCCCAAGCCCCGGAGAGAGATTACAAGTATTATTTCCATTTGTCAGGTAAGGAAACAGAGTCTCAGGTAGAGGAAGTAACTTGCCCAAGATAAGTGAGCAGTAGAAGCAAGACAAGAATCCAGGTCTTCTAACCACCGACCCAGGGCACTTTCTACTTGGTTTAGGGTTTGTACAGAAAATATGAAATCAAAAGCCAAAGGATTGAATTGTGGCTTTTTAAATGGGCTTTTGTAAATCAGTTTTGCAGTGTGAGGTATCCAAGATGAAAACTCTTTTTCCGGAAAGAAGCTTTTAAAAAAAAAAAAAAGGAAGGAATAAAGGGCTGCTCAAGTCTAATTTTCTGAACTATCGCTATTAGCAGTTTCTGATTTCTTCTCTTGCTCCATTTTGATCATCTTCATAGACTTCTGAAAATTGAAGATTTCTCCAGGTTGTAACCTCTGATAGACCAATTTCTTTTCTCATGCTGCACGAAAGAAGCAAGGGATGATAAAGATTGCATTATGAAAAATGTCTTGACACAATATTATAGATCCCAGACTACATTCTTAGTTCAAATACCTATGGGGAGTGGGGGTGGGGGCCTTCATTCTATAACATTTGAAAGGAGCTATTTCACAGCATGCTGTGTGTATTATTTATTTTATAATCAAGTCAAATGATGTAGCAGTGCCACCAACACTTAAATTACAGGCAGCAGCATGGGGTCATGAAAAGACCACAGGACCATATAAGATAAGGATATCTGACTAGATGATCTCTAAAGACCCTGAGGGTGCAGGACCAGAAAATCAGATTGAGCAAGTATCTGATCAATTCTGTCTCCTACCCAGGACTAAAAGTCCTAGTTATTACAGAAGCTGGTGCTACAAAAATTTCTGGATCATGACCAAAATCCTCTTGGTTCCCATTCACTAGATTTTTTTATTTTAAGTTTTATTGGTGCCTTTTGTTTTTGCATCACATTCATTTCTGAATATGCCTCTCCCCCTTCCCCAAAAGCTTTCTCTTGTAACAAAGATTATATAAAAAGAAAGAGAACAGTAAGCCCGCTGACACATTGACTATGTCTGACACAGTTTGTGTAGCCATTCCTCAGGCTGTGAGCACTCCCACTGTGGCCACAGAAAGTGCCACTTGAATATTTTGATATTTTCATCATGAAAATGTTCTTTATGGCTTAAGGAGATCCACTGGATTTCTGCATAAAGAAATTTCAAGCACTTTGTGCCTTTGGAATTTTTTATACCATAATCACTGCCTAACTCCCATCACCACATTCCCTTGTAATTAAGAAAAACAATGAAGCAAAATTTACTGACACAGCAACCATGTCTGATGGTATGTACAGTGTTCTGCATCCTTAGTCCGCTACCTCTGCCCAGAAATGGGCAGTATGTTTCATCATTTTCCCTGTGGGATCATGTTATTTATAATTGTATATATGATCTGGTTCTGCTTGACTCTCATATTAATTTCCATTTAATAAAAGGCTTCCCATTTCCCCCCCCAGAATTCCTCACATCTGTTGTTTCCTAGAGAGCACTAAAATTCCATTCCATCCCATTCATATGCCATGGTTTATTCAGCTATTTCCCAATCACTTAGGCACCTCTTTGTTTCTAGTTTTTTGCTATAGATATCCGACCTGTCAATCAACAAACATTTAATAGCATCTACTACATGCTCTCAAGGAGGTTACAGTTAATGGGGAAGACAGCAGGCAAACCACGTGTACAGATGAGATATAGTTAGGATAAGGACTTCAGCTGAGAATTGAAGAAAGCCAGGGAAGACTTTTTTCCCTTTTTTTTTTTTTAAACTTCCTTGGCTTATATACTTGGTAGTAGAATTACGGGCATAAAAAGTTTGAGGGAGCTAGATGGTGCAGTGGATAGAGCCTCAGGCCTGGAGTCAAGGAGACCTGAGTTCAAATGCTATCCTGGGCAAGTCATTAATCACGGTCTGACTCAGTTTCCTCAGCTATAAAATGGGTATAATATCATCTACTTTGTGAGGTTGTTAGGATCAAATAAGATAATTGCAAAGTGCTTAGCACGGTACCAGACACACAGTAAGCACTATATAAATGCTGGCTATTATTATTTATCATTTCAGGATTCTGAATTCTTTTCCAGAATAGTTCTATCAATTCAGTCTGTGATTTATTAGTGTGCCTATCTTTCCACAGCCTCTCCAACATTGACTTGCAGTCTTTTATTATCTTTGCCAATTTGATGAGTTGAGGTAAAAGTCATTTTTTATCTCAATATTAGAAATTTGGAGCATTTTTATGTGGTTAGTAGTTTGCATCTCTTCTTTTGGAAATGTTTGTTCTTATCACTAGGTTTAAATTGACACATTCTAGTTAAATGATCCCAGAGGCAGAGCCTAGAGAATCATATCTGGCATCTGCTTAGCTTTTTAAGCCTATTCAAATGATCTCATTAGGTATGGCCTGTCTGGCAGTGATGTCCTGGATAACGTGGCGTACGCTCGAGGCTTCAACACTGACCACCAAACCCAGCTCCTCTATCAGGCTTCAGCCATGATGGTTGAGTCCAGGTACGTTTGGAAGCAGACACCACCGATGCTCATGGACTTGAAGAGATCCGGTACTCAAGAGTGTGCAGGCTGATCAAAGGCTGGTGATGGGAATAAACAGAGGCTGGGCCTGGGAGCAGGAGGGAGGAGATCTAGGCCCAGCTGTGCTACTGACTTGCTGTATGACCCACAACAAACTGCTGTCTTTAAAAAGGAGACTAATACAGCTGAACTTATGGGGAAGAAGTAAGGATTTTAGGCAGCTAGTGGTACAGTGAGTAGAGTGTAGACCCAGGAGTCAGAAAGACTCATCTTCCTGAGTTCAAATCTGGCCTCAGATACTTACTAGCTGTGTGACCCTGGGCAAGTCACTTTACCCTGTTTGCCTCAGTCCCTCATCTGTAAAATGAACTGGAGAAGGAAATGGGTCATGGAGAGTCAGAGAAGGCTGAAATGACTGAACTGAAAATGCTGTGTATTTACCCTCGTATCATTTCTGTGGAGGAATCTTGCACCACAACAACAAAGGCTATTTTTCTGAAGCACATTTTTCCCTTTCAGTTGAATATATTTATATAAATAACTGAATATGTATTTGAGATTTTAGGTAATGGGGAAGAAGATTGAACCAGACTTAAGCAAAAAGTACTCTCCAGTGTATCTCTCTCTTCCTTGCCTTTTAGGTATGCGTTGTTAATTGTGGATAGTGCTACAGCCCTCTATCGGACGGATTACTCTGGCCGAGGGGAGCTATCAGCCAGACAGATGCACTTAGCAAGGTTCCTTCGGATGCTGCTGCGACTTGCTGATGAGGTAGAGCTGCTGGGGCAATAGTGAGGGTACACCTTATTTCATTTTTAGTCTATCAAGTCAGTCTTGTTAAGAGGGATGAGGACTGCTACTACCACTGAAATGTGAAATGCAGGCATTTGAGGACCTATTCAATGTCACACACTGCTCCAGTCCTCAAGACAGTCATGGCACAAACCCTGCTCCCAAGAAGCTTATGATGTAATAGAGCTGAATCAAATACACAAGTAACTAGGAACCTCCTTGTACCTTCATTTTCTTATGTGTTAGATGGGGAGAGCAATTTCTTCTTGTTGGAGGGAGGACTAGGGAATATTAGTCATCCATTTTTTTTCCATGAAGGATGGTTAAAGCCCTTTGAACTTTCTGGGAAGGTGCCTACTGATGTTTGTGATAACGAAAGAGACTTTGTGTTTGTCTTTCCTCCATCAGTTTGGTGTGGCAGTGGTGATCACTAATCAGGTGGTAGCCCAAGTAGATGGGGCAGCTATGTTTGCTGCAGATCCCAAAAAACCCATCGGAGGAAACATCATTGCACATGCCTCAACAACCAGGTATAGTAATGACTTAGATGCATTAATATAAGATGCCTTCTCTTTTTTGTTTTTTTAAATAATATTTTATTTTTTCCCAGTTACATGTAAAGATAATTTTTAGCATTCTTTTTAAAAAATTTTTGAGTTCTAAAGGATGCCTGTTTTCAAAAAAATTGTAAACTTAGCAAACATGAACAAATATGAAAATTTCTCCAGTATAAAAGAACAGGAAAAGGGAATTGTATGTGAAATTGTGAGTCTATTGTAGTTTGTTTTTAAATATATATATATATATTAAATTTAACATCATAGTACCAAAACTGCCCTGCTTGTTTGTGCCCCCCTTCTGACCTCCCTTCTGTTTTCCTGTGTGTTTTTTAAAATGTTCCATGGATGCTTTTTTATTTTTACATCACTATCACTTTCTGTCTACTCCCTTGCCTCTCCCACAATTCTGTCCTCCCCATAACCCTTCTAATAATTGTCATTTTCCATTTTTGTCATCTTTTCCAGTCTGATGTGATATGATGTGGAGCCAGAGTTAAAACAATTTGCATTTCTCTTATTGGTTTTTTGGAGTATTTTCTCATATGGTTGTCAATAGCTTACATTTCTTTTGAAAACTAGCTGTTTGCATGGAAAAAAGTTTAATTTGAAAAAGAAACTACTTGAGAGAATTGCAGAAATATGAAAGCTTGCAAAAGTCTTAATTTTTTTTTTTGTTACTATTGTTTAGGAGTATTTTGAGTCTATTATTGCTCCCAACTCAGCAGTTAATTAATGACCTTTAGCTGGTAGGCATATACTTTTAAAAGAAGGAAAGCCCCTAAAATTAAAGCATACGTAGATCTCTCGTGCCCTTCCTGGTCAGAAACTGTTTTGCTAGCGTCAGCAGTATTTCACTGTCCTGAGAATCTACTGAGGAGTGACCAGCAAGGGTTTTTCCTATGTGAGAAATGCCTTTGTTGCTGAGGAATAAAGGAAAGTTCTCATTTTTTTTTCCCCAAAAAAGTATGCCTAGCACAACTTGGACTTGTTTAGAACTCAGATGTTGCCTTTGAAATGTGGAACACAAACAATATAAGTGATTTGTTGTTTGTTTTTTCAATCAGGCTGTACCTAAGGAAAGGACGAGGAGAAACCAGGATTTGCAAGATCTATGACTCTCCCTGCCTTCCTGAGGCTGAAGCTATGTTTGCCATTAATGCTGATGGAGTGGGAGATGCCAAAGACTGAGGCACTACTTTGATTTCGTTTATAGAACTTGTGTTTCCTTACAAAGAGGACTGTTCCCTGGTGTCCTTCACAGGCCTTTTCCTGTTGTGACGGCCCCAGAAGAGACTTCCAGGAGACTTCCGTGAAAACAGCCATTGTATTTGCCCATCTGAAGGTGTAAACAGGAGACAGGTCAGCAGTCAGGAACCCTAATCTGAAATGTTGATTCCTTCTGAGTTTACTGATCTCTACGTGATTTCTCTGGCCCGTGGTTGGGGAGAAAAGGGGGTGTGGGATGGTGAGAAGCAGCTCTTCTCATAACAATATCTTTAGGTGGGCATAAGATTTCCATTTGTCTGGAATGTCTTTTTTTTTTTTTTATACATGTGACCAAAACTGGACTAAGAAATTGAAAAAACTGGGCTCTTTTCCCCCCACTGTCTTTAATGATGAAAATTAAGTGACCCAGGGCTATAACACAAAGGTGTCAAATAATCCCTTACTTACCCCAAGCTTCTCATAGGGTCTTGTTTCTCTGACAGTAAAATTCACCTGGAAGTTGTTAGGCATCTGAGTTAGTGTTGGGATTTTGTATATAAGTATTTGTACCCATTGAGGGAAGTCTGTTTCTTTTAAGGTAAAGGAGTCTTGAGTTGGAGGCCTGGATTTATGAGGCCACTTGCTTGGTCCCAATTCAGCTCTTCCTTTACTGCTTGCAGTAAAGTTCTGGGCATTTCAGGAGCCTTTGCAAAGGGATTTGAGCCCCAAAATGAAATATATGCTGGAGATTGATTTTTGAGGCCATCTTATATTAGGTAAATTAAACATCCTATGTTGAGGCCTTATGTTAGCTAAATATTCTAAGGTAAGTTTTCTCTACCACCTTGCTATTGATGTTATTTACTGCTGAGTTCAGTGGAATGGGGCATATATTTAGGGTCTTGCTAAAAAATATAGATGAGCAGCCATGAGGGGAATGGGAAAAGGGGCAGAATCACTGTCTTTATTTAGTAAATTGCTAGGGGTGGGGTAAGAGAAGAGTGGAACATGGTCACAGAACATAGGGCTTTTCATTGTGGTTGTATGAGGGCTGCCCCTTCCCCAAACCACAGAGCTTTTTCACTGCAGGTTCCAGTGCTATTTTGAAACCATTTCTTTTCTTTTCCTTCCAGCCAAAATATAACCCCAATTTTCTAATCTTGGTTTTAAAAGGCTTGCAATATGGGGGAAAGGATATATTCAGAAATGAACATGATGTAAAAACAAAAATACATCAATAAAACAGCTCCAAGGACTCCTTGACTAACCAGGTGGAATGTCAGTATTGGGAAGTGACAGGATACCTTTTCTCTAGAATGTAAGCTGCCCATTGCATAAATATACCACTAAGCCATCTCTTGACCTACAACATGGACAGTCACCTTCACAAATCTTTTAACATTTTACTTCTGCTCCCTGGTAGTGTACCTGAAAGGATTGTGCTCTATGGGTAGGAAAACAAGATGCCAAATGAGTCCAGTTCTCCCAGGATTCATGGGGAGGTGATGAAGTCAGAATCATAATATTCACAAAATTCCAGTCTTTGCTTTCCTTGGGTTGGAGTTCTCGGGTCAGTGCACTGGAGTAGGTTGTGTTTAGGGAACCAGGTGGTCAACCTAGAACTTTTTGTCTTCAACTCGTGTCTGTCTGTCTCCTTCCCTCCCTCCCCCTCTCCCTCTCTCCCCCCCCCCTTCTCTCTCCCCCTCTCCTCAACTGCAGAGGCCTCAGCATGCCTTCATATGACACTACTGACATGGAATCTAGGCTTCCTGAGGAAGTAAGGAAAGAGGATGGGTTAGGGGGAGGGGAGGTTTATACTTCAGTCTTTCTGTCTATAGCAATTGACAGTTCTCACCCTGGCTGGCCCTCTCAGATTCCATTTTCCTGCTGGCTGCTCTTCTGTTAGATAGGCAAAACTATATCTTCCAGACCCTTAAATGAGATGCTTGGTTAGATCTGTGTTCTTCAGTATAAGGTGTCTGCATTGCTGCTTTATCTAAACTTGCTAGATGCTTAACCAACATGATTTGTAAGGGAATGTCCTCTGTAACTTCAGAACGAATGTCTTTACTGCTTCAGGTTTTCAAACAAAATATTAAAACATTGTTGTGTATGAAAACATTTGTGCCTAAAAATGTTTCTAAACTGTACAACCCAAGTAGATGAAGCCAACCCATGTTTAGCTTAGAGTCATGCATATCCCCTCAACGAGTCATGGCCTACAGAAAGTCTAGATAGTGAGAGGTCTGCTCAGATCCATGTGCTTATACAGGAGTTAAGCGACCTGCCCAGAGCAGAATCTGAATCTAGTTTTTCCTGACATCACAACTAGATCATGCTGCTAAAAGAGGATCCTATTTGAAAGATAAGAAAAGTGAAGCTTAGAAAGGTGGTGATCCCATCTGAGGTCCTATAGCCAGTAAAGAGCATCATCTTAATGCATTTTCAGCTTTTCTGACAAAAGACCATTCCTTCTCTCCCCGCCACCCCTTACCAGGGATTGTTTAGCATAATGAAGAGGGACACTGCTTCTGCTCAGGTCCCTTTGACTAGTGTGCTCTAGTGTTGCCCATGACTATTCACTATTCCTTCACAAACAGCTGAAACTGCACATAGACAGATGCCCTCTTATACACACCCAGCATTTTTTCATTTTTCTTCAAGGTTGAAGCCTTAACATTCTTGTCAGAGCTCTGGCTTGTTTTTAAGAAGGCTCAGATATCTATGTTTTACTTCGTGTTGATGCCTTGACCGTACTTATCTAATGCTGCATGTGCCCAAGGGAGAATGAACTTAGAAATGCCAACTCCGCATTCAAATTGAACATGTACAAGGCCCGTGATTATGTGTCAAAGGAAAGGGACAAACTACTCCAGGGACTGAATTGTAGTCGACAGAAACTGATTCCTGCTGTCTGCAAATAATCTTTGCCCCAATATCTCACATCAGACAAACTTAATGCATCGAGGGAGAATTGTACCCATTCAGTAACTATGGGGAAGACTGAGTCGTCTACAGAGCACACCTGGAAAGACAAACAATGACAGGATGACTTTGCTCTCACTGCCACTTGAGCTGAATTTATTTCAGTTTTGTACCACAATACAAACCAGGCAGCTATAAATACCATAGCTTTATTAGTACCCTAAACAAGATAATGCCTCACTTTTTAAAAGGTGTCAAGGCCCAGGCAGGGAAGAAAGGGCCAGATACCCTCCCAAGCCTGAGCCCATCTTAGGGGCAAGATGGAAGTAATGTCTAGTCTTCTCATACCCCTTTCCTCTTACCCTGACCATGCAGGGTGGGATCCTAGGGGTATTTACAATGAAGTTGGGATTGGTCAGTGAAAAGGATCAAAAGAGAGAGTTCCATACTTTGTTCCTAAGGCTTCGTAAAGTGCATTTACCTCCCCATCAGATAAAACATAGTGCCACCATCCTTCCACTGCCCCAGCTGGCAGGTGGTTTTCAGTGCCACTGCCCTGACCAGGCCTGTGCTTAGAGTCACAGGTACTTCCTTCTGCCACCACAGCCTCAACCACAGAATTCATAGTTAAAAAAAAAAAAAAGCACATGAAACCTGAAGGTTTGACCTGATGAAAAATCATCACACCTTTCCCTTTCTGGTTTCAGGGTAGAGAGAAGGCTGGGAGTAAATGAACCACAGCAGGGCAGTAGGCAAACACAGACTTGGTGAGGTTGCAGCTCAGGACAAGATTCAGGGCAGCCAGCCCTTTTTCCAGCCTCTGCATTGCTCAGCCTCTACCCCAAGGAAGAATTTTTGTCTGAGCAGGGGGCATAAGAGGGGACTCCCTCTCCTGCTACTGTACGTGGTGTTGCCCTTCTGGTGATGAAAGCCAAAGAATGTGCTTATTCTTCCAATGCTACTTTCAGCTCCTCCAGTTCCTTGTGGCAGACAACATCCTAGAATGAACCAGGAGGGAAGAAAAAAAAGGGGGGGAGGTCAAAGGGGAAAGGAACAGAATGAGACAGGCTAGAGGCTTGTCCCATCAATACCTCTCCCAAACCATGTTTTCATGACTTCTTAGCACTCATCATTGCTTAACAAGTTAGCCTAAGGATAAAGAACACACTGTTAAATAGGTTATCTTCCCCATACACTAATGGTGAGGAGGAAGGTACTGTACTTCCTAGGGAAAGCATGGCATTGAAAAGGAACAGGTTTGTTCAAGTCCTAATATCAGGCCAATAACAGTGCTAAGGTCAGAAGCCAGAAGCGGTCTGACATCTGTGTTCCTGAGAGCTCAGGACGGTTTCCCAGTCCCAGTCTAAACAGACGAAGCTCAGGAGATATGAGGAACCTTGGGTGAAAGGACCAGAATAGCAGTGGGGACCTTTCAGCCAGAGGTCCCCTGTGGCCCTCTAGATCCTTGGGTGTGGCCTTTTAACTGAGTCCAAGTTTCAGAGAACAAATTCTTTTATTAAGGGCATTTGTTCTGTGAAGTTTGGATTTAGTCAAAGGGCTGCACTTAAGGACCTAGAGGGCTACAGGGGGCCTCTGGCCAAAGGTTCCCCACCCCTGAATGAACAAAGCTATGAGACACCAGAATAGCTCTGGATAGCTACCTCATTAGTGATATCTGGCAGCTCCAAGGCCAACTTCATCCACTGTCCAGCTTCAGAGTTGTTCCCTAGCTCCTTATAGCACTAGAAAAAAGACAACAGTGACCATCATTAAGGGATGTTGTTGTTCAGTCTTTTTCAGTCATGTCATTCTTCATGACCCCCTTTGGGGTTTTCTTGGCAGATACTGGAGTGGTTTGCCATTTCCTTTTTCAGCTCACTTTACAAATGAGGAAACTGAGGCAAACAGGTTAAGTGGCTTGCCCAGGTTTGCACAGCAAGTATCTGAGGTCAGATCTAAACTCAGGAAGATAAATCTTTTGGACTCCAAGCCTGGCATTTTATCCATCTAGCTGCCCTCACTAACAGATACTAGGAGCCTGAATAGGAACTAGGGAAAAGGACGTATGCCACTAACTCGAGTTGAAGGTTCAATTTAATATGTTCATTAGGTATGTGCAGAACGCTACACTAAATGACAAGGGGTAAGATAAGACAGTCTTCTATCTCCTCTGAGATAAAGACTGGGGGGGGGGGTTGGAGGTAAATCTTACATATATTCTACTATAAAACAAAATGGAGGATATTACTTGTCAACTAATTTTTTATTTATTTCATAAATATTTCCCAAATACATGTAAAAAAAATTAACAATCATTTTTTAAACTTCTGAATTATAAATTCAAGGATATCATTACTGTTATCATTAATAATAGCCTTTACTTGAAGCTTAAAGGTTTGCAAAGTGCCATTCATATAATCTGATCTCACTTGATATTAAGTACATAAAGAAAGTACAGAGTGATGCCTGAGTATCAAGGTTGTCATGTTAACACTCCTTTAATCAGCTGCTGCACTCCTCAGAGTTACTTCCTGCCTTGTATGTATGACAGGCACGTGACTCAGATGCAATTACCAAACTGTACCTACCCTCTGACCCAGTAATGGGGCTCCTGGGCATATACTGGTCAAAGACAGAAACCAAAGGTCTAATCTACATGAAAATATTCATAGCAGTACTAATGGTGGTAGCAAAAAAAACAAAGTAGGTGCCTATCGATGGAGGGAATGGCTGAAAAACCAAAGCTGCACCATAAAAATTGAGAACCTCGATGTACTAGGATTTTCAGTAATGTAAGTTTGCTCAGACTCTGACCATAACCTTTTGTCCTGCCATGTCTGTCCTCTATTACCTCACTCCCAAATTTGCCCCTTGTCCTCCCTGACACTTGTAGTCTGAGCCTCCTTCCCTGTGCACCAATCCTGCTCTGGGCTCGTGTTCTCCACCTTGCTGATCCTTAAGCATAATGCAACAAAGAGAGCACTGGCTTTAGAGGCACAGGACTTGGGAGGGATTTCCAACTCTGTCACCTAATCCATTGACCAACAAACACTTAATGAGCACCTACTGTGTTCCAGGCACTATGCTAAGTGCTGAAAAATCAAAGAGTCCCTGTGCTTAGTGAGCTTACATTTTACCACAGGAAACATGAGCACACAAACACAGTACATCCATACAGGGTGGTTTGAGGAGGGGGAGCACAAGCAGCTAGGGGGTTAGTGTGGATTGGAATCAGGAAAGACTTTATGGAGAAAGCCAAGTCCTAAAGGAAACCAGAGATTTTGAAGAACAGAGACAAGGAGGAAGTACATTGCAGGCATGGGGCATGGCCAGTCCAAAGGTAAAGGGTCAGGAGATAGAGGGAGCTGTGTAAGTAAAAGGGCTTGGCTGGATCTGGATCACAGCATGAATTAGGAGGAGAAATGTGTGTGACTGACAAGGCAGGAAGGGGGCCAGGTGGTGAGCCCTAAATGCCAAACCAGAGTTTTTATTTGGTTCTAGAGGTAAAAGGTGGCAACTGGACTTCACCCAAGCATCTTAACCTGCCTTGGTCAAAAATGAAGTGAGGACTACTGGAATTGCTAGTTCTTTGGGGCCAGATAATGTTGAAATCTATGATCTTATAAATGTGAAAGATTATTGTACAATACAAAATATGACAAGAAATTCAGAGAACAGAAAGATTGGTTAAGAACTGATACAGTAAAGGGGCAGCTAGGTGGTGCAGTAGATAGAGCACCGGCCCTGAAGTCAGGAGGACCTGAGTTCAAATCTGACCTCAGACCAAACACTTGACACTTACTAGCTGTATGACCTTGGGCAAGTCACTTAACCCCAACTGCCTGAAAAAAAAAATCTTGGGGGGAAAAAAAACCTGACACAGTAAAACAAGCAGAACCAAAAGAACAACACAGGTGACAAAATGAGTAAACGACTGATGGTCCTGGAGAAACCTACTGACCTAATGGCAAAGAGGCAAGCTACTATTAGGACAGGAAACTGTCTACATTGCCAGTGAGTATTGTGTTAACTCTTTCTGGTGATAAGGAAAGGTTCCCTGAAAATTAGTATAATGGCACCTAAAGGCATCACATATATTTTTAAACATAAAAAGGTTATTATGTTACCTTAGAGATGTACACCCTTCCAGCTTTGGAAAACCCAGGACTCAGTTCTTCTGCCTTAAGAAGGGAGACAACTGGGTCAACCACAGGGTCAGTTTGGCCCTCCAGAAGACAACTTCAAGCCAAACCTCTGTTAAGAGTCCCTGACGTCAAGGAGGAAGCCTTTGAATCCCTTCCCGGCTCCCCCTGGAGGACACCACACCAGAACAAGACCATCTGTTTCCGACATTAGAATGGGAAAGCCTGACCACACTGACTCTCCTCCTAACTACCAAGGAATGTTCCTCACCCACTGACAACCTCGCTCCCTCCCCTCTGTCCTCCTCTCCTCTCCTGATACCTTCAGAAAGCTCTGCAGAGCATCATGGACAGTGGCACTGGGAGGGCTCTCAAACAAGGCTCCAGCAGTCTTCTTCTCTAGCCAAGTCAGATGAGATACCTGCCACCAGAACAACAAATTATAACTAAGCTGGGCAGGGAGAGGATGGGGATCACCCACCCCACTGCAACCTGAGACATGCACACCTAACCTCTTAATGATGATTATGCTGAGTGCATAATCAGTGCCTTTTTATTCATTCACTCATTCATTCATTCAGTATTCACCGCCATTCTACAGACTCATGAGTTCCTCCAAAGAAAAAGGCAACGCGACTGGCCCAGGTTATGGCCTCCTACGGTGACCAAAGGCCCTAGGAAGGGACTCACCTGGTAGCACCATCTTCCAAGTAGGAAGTGAGACTTGGGGTTGTCTGGCTGGAGGGCAATAGCTCTATCTATGTGATCCTGGGGAGGAGAAAAAGCAGTTACAAATCAGATCTGAAGGGGCCAAACCCAGAAACCTAGGGGAATACCGAGGTCTCTGAGAAGACAGGGTAGACTTGTGAAGAGCCAGGGAGGCAGCCAGGGCCTTACTGGGGTGTGATTTCCAGAGGGGGAGAGAAAAGTTATTTCTCACCTTGAAGATATAGCCGCTCTGGATACGCCTCTGGATGCCTTCATGCTCAGCCAGCTGACCACATAGTACTGCGTACCTACCAAAGAGGCAACAACAGTGAGCTCAGAATCTGAAGACCAAGTTCATATCGAAAGGCAACATCTCCATGCAAGAGGCCCAGGGCATTTCTCTATGCCCTACCTGCCCTTCCATTGGCTCTCCCAGGGCCTCCATAGCTCCTTCCTCTGCCCCAGCTTGTGTTCTCTATCATATGCTCTGCCCTTGGCTTCCATCTCTCCAGGTCAGAATAAGGGAAGAGAATGAAAATCAAGAACCGACTCAAAAAGTCACTCAACTCTCATACCCTTTGATTCAGTGGTTACCACCAGTTGGTACAAACCCGGAAGGGCCTGAGACAGAGGGAAAGGACCCATATGTACAAAAACATGTACTGATGTAGCAAAGAACTAGAAACAAAGTGTTTGCCATCAATTGAGGAATGGCTGAACAAGCTATTTAATAGGAATGTTGGTGGAATATTATTTTGCCATAAGAAATTAAAGGGACAGTTTCTGAGAAACCTGAGAGGACTTCTGTGAACTGATGCAGAGTGAAGGGAGCAGAACCAAGAGGACCATTGATACAATGGCCAAAATAGTGAAAAAGGAAAAGATTTTGAAAGACTCAACAACTCTTATCGATGCAGTGATCAGTCATGACTCCAGCATGCTTCCAACCTCTTAGGAGAGAGGTGACAACTGCAGGTGCAGAGTGAGACATACATCCTCAGATAGGACCAATTCAGCACAACTTTGTTTTGACGTGACTATGCTTACTTTTCACAAGGGAGGGCTTTTATGGAGGACATCAAGGCAGGGATAGTAATAGTGATATAGAACATGGAAACAAAAGCGCTTTCATAAAACAGTTTTTTAAAAATACACAGAAGATGGAATCAGGTTCAGAAAGTGACAGGGCAGGGCAGTGTCGGCACTACTGTGTATCATGGTAAATTTAACATAAGGTGCTAAGCTTAACGCTACACTAAGACTTTTTGGACACCCTTTACATATTCAGTTTCATCTGCAACCCTCTTTTTCTTACCTGTGTATATGGAAATGTTTGTTGACTCTTAAATTATTAAAAAAAAACAAAACTATGCCAAGATATACATGCACATGTATATATTGAAGATGTGTATGTATGCATATTTACAAACACATGTATATATACACACGTGTGTATATTGTGTGGCTACAGATAGACACACAGATAAATGGATGGATAGATAGAATTTCTAAAAAAATATTTAACATGATTAGCAAGGTCTAAAGTTAGAGCCAGTCCAAATATGGGTCTCAGAAACTACTCATGGAGGAAACAGCTAAAAATGTCATAGAAACTATGGAAAAAGGACAAGATCTTAAGAGAAGTTCCACCATAGGGCATGGAGAGATCTTATGAATAAGGATCAAGAAAGGTCGGCACCTGAACTGAACTTAGAAGGAAACTTGGGCTTCTCAGAGGCAGCTACAAGAATGAGTACATTCCAGGCATGAAGGATGTAGAGCCTATGCAAAAGCAGAGAGGTGGGGAATAGTGTATTCATATGTGAGGACCAGTAAGAAGGCTGATTTGACCGGACCAGAGACACTACTAAATATTTACTGTTATCAGAACTTACTGGGAGCAGCTGGACAAAGAACAAGGAAAATCATTACCCTGCAAACCCGCTCTCCTCGTAAAAAAGGACAGGGAGGCTAAAAGACCTGGTAACTGAGAACCAGAGTAGATGGATATGATGCTCACCAGAAACTGGTGAAACCCTGTCCTCCTCTGTCCCCTTCCCAGACACGTGGACAGCCAAACAGAGGACAGGAAAAGCAAGAAACAAAAACACAGGATAGTGTATTTTTTCACTGAAACTAAGAACACTGGCCCAGGACTCCCAAGACAGTGAATTTCTGACAAAGCTCTGCCCCGTCCGGCTCCCAAGGTTTTGCCTCATGAGGTCATAAATAGGGCTGATTTTTTTTTAACGCCAATAAAAGATTCTATCCCACTAACCATCAGACGTGGCAAGTCTGTTCACTGTGTACAAGGTTCACGTACAGATTGCCCCACCCAAGCCAAAGTCCATCAGTCAGGACTGTGCGCCGGAATCAAGGTGTCTCACTGTAGCTTGGCCAAACAGGTTTAGACATCAGCCACACTCTCCCTGCCCTCCTCAACCCAGCCTGCCCCCACTGACCCCAAAACAGCTCATTTCTCTGAGCCTCATTTATTATGCTGGGTTTCGCTACCTCATTTCCAGGGTTGCCTCAGTCAAAACAAATCAACATACACACACAAAATCCAGGCACTGTCCTGTACAAACAGCACTGCTCCAAAAAAGCAGATCCTTATGGTTTTACAAGGGGCCAAACAAGAAGCCAAACCAAAGCTCTCCTAAAAACCTACAGGCAGAGCTGCCTCTGGTCATTGCCAAGCAAAAAACTGGAAGTCCCAGAATGCCTCTGGTCATGGTGCAGTGAAAGCTGGCTGAGCCAAGGCCCTAAATGAGCCTCCCCATGCACCCATGGTTGAATCTTCCCCCGCTTGATCCCCATAGGACGTATTTACCACTGGTGAGACTCGGCGCTCTCATCTCCTTTCTCCAGGGCAGCCTCCACTTCTTCCTTTCCTAAAAAATAAAAGACAGTGCCAGAAGTTAGCAGCATTTTGAAAAGGATTCTTTCCTACCCGAAGCCCACCAGCATCCTCTTCAAAAAAAAGCAGGGGAGGGAAAGATGCCTGTTGTAGGCCTCACTTTTCCATACTCAGTTGGAGCCAGTTTAGAAATGGCAGGACACACATACATTCTTTACCCTCAAAGAAGTCGTAAGACATCTTCTGCACTCCTCAGGCTCCTCCCAACCCCTAACACTTATCTTTAGTCCCAACTCCTCTCATACCACCCTCCTCAAGAGACCTGATTGAGAAAATGCCTGTGAAGTACTGGGCAAACTTTAATGTGATATGTCAATGTTGGCTATTAGAATGAAAAGGGGAGATAAATCCCAATGATTTTTAAATAGTGACAGGGTTGGGGATTGTTTCTGAAACCAAAAGGTTAAGTATACTGATTAATTAGAACCCTCAAGTAGGAAAAATTGGGACTTGTCAATAGAAAGTCTCTTCAAGAAGAGAAAAAAGCAAAGTATTTTTTTTTAGCTTTTTAAACTTTTAAGTTTAATTATAATTTTCAGGGTTTGGTTGTTTTTTTTTTTAATCTGAGGGCAGTATAAATTCAGCCCAACCTCCTATACTTCTTATAGTACCATTAATGTTCAAAATGTTGAGGACCTAAGTTATCAAAGACAGACACCAAAAAGACATTTTCTTCCTATTACACCAGCATAGGCCTGTCTAAGGGCAAGACAACTTAACAATATGATTTCCCTCAGGTTCCTTTTAGGCCCAGGATTTAGAGCAACCTCACAAATGGCTGACTTTGAAAGTGATCACCCCACAAGGAGGTATCCAGAACCCTGATTCTCGATGTGGAAGCACTGCCTGCTCCCAAGGACAAAAGTTTTTGTGATAAGACTTGATGGATGGATCACGGGAACACTGGGCCAATGGCAGAGAGTCACAGATCTCATGGGCTGAAATAGGAGAATAGGTCACCTAATCCACACTAAATCTTAGTCCCTTCACAACATCCTTAGCAAGTGGTCATTTGGCCTCCACTTGAAGACCCAGGCCTTCTCCTCCCCACTCATAATAAGAGAAATGACTTCACTATCATTTAAGGCACCTGGTTCTACTTTGGGACAAGTATAATTGCCAGAATGCTTTTCCTTAGATTGTATTAAGCCGAAAATCTTCCTATAGATTCTACCCAAAAATCCCAGCGCTGCCTCCTGGCAAGTCTACTAGTTCCAGGATTGAGGCATCAAGGCAGCAGAGTGGATGGTGCTAGAGTTGGGATCAGGAAGACCCAAGTTCAAATCCTGCTTCAGACACTTGCTAATTGTGCAACATCGGACAAGTCACTTAACCGTCCTCCGCCTTGGTTTCCCCGTCTGTTAAATGAGGGGTTGGACTCGATGGCCTTTAAGGACCCCGTACAGCTCTAAATCTTCAATCCCATAACACTTTCACTAGGAGACGAGGTGATTAGGAGAGAGTCACCTCCCTACCTCCACTGTAAAAAATGGGACATTTGCACTAACTACTGTAGCTCATGAGGTGGTGAGGAGAGCATTTTATAAACTATAAGTAAATTCAAAGCAAATATTTATTAAACACCTACTTTGGGTGCTGACCAAGTACAGTTTAGATAAGGGTTGGCCCTGCCATCATGGAGGTTATAGTCCATTATAAAGAGACAACTAACACATAGCAGATAACTACAATAGACATATTATACATACCAGAAACCTAAAGTACATTAGTGAGTGATTTCTCTCATGTCACATGCGTCAGTGGGGAGGAGAGAGATAAAAAGTACAAGGCAGGGTGCAGGTGGGAGGAATCAGGAAAGGTTAGCAGAGTAACACTGCAACATGTTTAAATTCCTTTCAGGTGGAATTTAAAGACTAGGAAGGGTTTCAATAGGAGACATGTAGGGATAGAACAGGCAGTGGTATGGGGGACAGAGCACTAAATACGGATCCAGAGGACCTGGGTCCACAGGCTAGCTCTGCAGCTTCTGTTAGTTTCTTCATCTGTAAAATGAGGGGCTGGATGAGGCCCCTGTGATCAGAGGCAAGCTAAATTTGTTTCTAAAGTTGTATTCTGGAAATGTCTGCCCCATGGGTCTTATGCCCAAATCCTGAAGATACCTACTGTCTAATCAACACGAAGCAGGGATAAGCGGATCTCCCACTGCCTGCATCTCAGATGGAGAAGCCAGGGTCCTTGGTGGTAGTGATCTGCCTTAGGCCAGTAGCTGAGATAACTCTCTCCCAGCCTAACACTGCCCCAGCCCCTCTGAATACTAACCACGCTGTGCCATGCATATACTTGCTGGGTCGGTTCTTTAGGCCATTGTGCATTGTAACAGCACACTGGATTTGGGATCAGAAGACCTGGACCAAATTCTGGCTGTGCTACCTCCTCTATCTGTATGACCCCGGGCAGATGACAACTTCTGTGGGCTTTGTGGTCATTAGACTAGAAGATTCTTCTAGGTCTAGAGCCACCATCCAAGGTCACCCTTCTTTCCCCTGTGAGTGCTCACCACTTTGGGCGTATGACTTTTTCTCATTCATCCCCTCAGAGAGGTCACACATGTCACTGTAGGCCCGGGCCAAGCGCCATAGAAAGTCTTGTCGACTTCCATACTGTGGATGGAACAAAAGAGTTGAAAGCAGTTTTTACCCTGCATGCAGGGTATCAGGGATCCCCTGCTCTAGCCACTGTGAGATGCTTATGCTGGGGTGAGCAAGGAGGCCACAGAGCTCCCAAGCCTATGTCACAACCCTCACCCAGTGAGACAATCCTCAACAGGTAAATGAAAATGAAACTTAATGGGGTGTATGTAGTACCCTAGGATGAGGTCATTTCCTCCTGATCACTAAAAGGAGTCAAACCCAGGCAGGGGTGATGAGATGGAGGACACCTTTAGTTAAACATTTTGCTAACAATCCCAAAAGGTCAGATCTCAAACTCTCTATTCCACTCCCCACTTCCCCAGCCCAAAACAGAAGGTCTGTCTTTCCAAACCTGCAATGCTGCATGGTGTCCAAAGGCCTAGGCAATATACACGGGGAGATGGGAAATGAGCCTACAGAGGGGGAACAGCCTACAGAGGTCCAGTCCTAAGCCAGGACAGGGAAACTTAGTCCACTCCAGGTGTAGCTTGAGAAGGGCTGCACAAGAGTGGAATTTTATCCTGGTTTTCTTTTGAAGGGTTTTGGTTTCATCACTCTTCTCTGAACAGGTAGAAAGAATGATTCAGAATGCCCTCTCTCGCTCTCATTTCAATGCTCCTTCAAATGGGACAAAAAGGCTGAAGCTTGGGCTCTAGGCACTGTGGTAGGAGAGGGAACAGGATGGGGCAGAGAACTAAGGGCAAAAGAAGGATGCCAAATGCTTTTACAGTTTTCTCCTCTACGCCATCCTAGGGCCAACTACAGAAAGAAGCTCAGTCTCCTTGGAGGTGGATTTTCTACTGTGACTCACACCTGATGTGGGGGACACTGTGCTTCAAGAGCAGGCCCGGCAACACTTGCCACAAACCACACTCGCCTTGCGAACCAGCCGTGCCCGGCTGCCCAGCGGGGGTGGGGAGGGGAGCCTTACCGCCAGCTTGTTGTTGAGGAGCCGCTGGAAACCCTCCTGTTTGCTCTGCTTGTCACCCAGGTGCATTTCATCCGCCTGCCGCAGCAGCAGGAGCAGCTCCTCTCCACCTGCAAAGTCCACGGGCAGCAGGAGGGAATCCCCATCGCCGGTCAGGTCCTGGGAGTCGCTTCGACCTGTTTTCACTGTTTCACAGCTTACTTCATCTTCATCCTCCTCACTCTCCTTTTCTGTCTCCCAGTCATAGTCAGACTCTGCATTGGCTGTTGTATACCTTGGGTAGAAAGCACATTGGACAACATCACTCAGCCAGACACCCTGGGTCCCACAGATTCTCCCCCAACCAGTGCACCTATGTCTAAGGCCACAGAGTTGGTCAATAAGCACTTAGGTGCCCACCGTGTGCCAGGCACTGCGCCAAGCATGGGGGGGGAACAGTCTGTTCCCTGAAGGAGTTCACAGTCTCAGGGGAGAGACAACAAGCAAACAAACAACTATGTGCAAACAAGATATGTTCAGGATAAACGGGCTAGTGTCAGAGGGAAGGCACACAGATTAAGGCTTCCTGCAAAAGGCAGCACTTTCACTGAGACCTGAAGAAAGGCAGGGAGTGGAGAGAAGGAGGAAGAGAGCTCCAGGCGTGGGTGTCAGCCAATGAAGAGCCCAGAGCTGGGAGATGGAATGTCATGTGCACAGAACAACAAGGAGGCCAAGGTCACTGTGCTGCAGAGTATATGGAGAAGAGTAAGGGGTAAGGAGGCTGGAAAGGCAGGAAGGGGTCAGCTTATAAAGAAGGGCTTTAGAAGCCAAGCAGAAAATTTTACATTTAATCCTAGATGCTGCTGCAGTCTATGGAACAGTGGGCTGGCATGGTGAGCCCCACACTTTAGGAAGATCAATTTGACGGGCTGAGTGGAAGATGGACTGGAGTAGGAAGAGACTTAAGCCAAGCAGGCTTACTGCAGTAGTCCTGTCATGAGATGATGAAGGTCTGCACCAGGGTGGTGGTGGTATCAGAGGAGAGGAGCAGGAGCGTTTGAGAGACATAGAAGTGACGGGTCTTGACAAGTGAATGGATGTAGGAAACACCCCACTGATAGTATACTCTCCTCAAAGGGGCTAACACTTATTCAGCAGATCAGAGGCAGATATGCCTCTAAAATTAATACCTTGGTGAAAAGGCCAGGAGAAAATACACCAGTCCTCTCCCTATGGAGGCAAGGAGGTACATAAATATAATATAAAGCACTGTAAGAAGACTCCTCCCAGAAGTACAGTTAGGAGGTTTGTTCAGCTGCTTCCTTAGTTGTCACCCCGTAAGCTAGGTACATTTAGCCCTGGATTCTAGTCACTAAGACAATATGCTTTCTGCTTAGCTCAGGGACTGCAACCTTCCAGTAACAAGATGGCTCCACCCAGCTGATGCACATAGATTCGTGTTTTCCCATGTGCCTGGGGAATGGAGTCACAGCCGTTAACAGAATCTCAACAACTTTGACCCAGGAACTGACTTTCTCAAATTCAGGAAGTCACAAAATGCTACAATCTATTATGGGCCCTGCTTGCTTTGAAAACACAGGCTCCTGGGACAGAGACTATCCAAGGAAAACAAGAGGTCAAGAAAGGCCTTAAGATCCTAACAATGCCAGAGACCTAAGAATATTCAGTTCCTTTCAAAGCTAGAATTGGGAGCACAGACCAGCCTGGGTTTACAGATGAGTAAAAGCAGTTCAAGAAATCTATAACCCATTTCTTTCATCAGAAATACTAAAGTTTTGAAAACAGGGATTTTACAGAGTTTTGTTGGATAGCAAAGAGCTGATACCAATCTCCATGTGGACCCACAGACCACTATCCTTGTCTCTTACTACTCACTCAGCATCCTCTAAGTTCTCTATGATACTTCTTGGGCCCTTGACTGAATGTATAATAAGGCTATATATATAGTAGGCTTTCCTTCACTCCCTCCTACCCTCTTCGTCAGACTTCTGTGACTACCTTCTTTGGGACAAAGCAGCTTAATCTGGAGTGTTTGGTCATGTCAGAGCTGTGGAAATTAAAATTCCTTCTGGACACAGTGCCCTGTCTCTACAATTTGCTTTCTTTGTGATGAAAACTGAAATTCATGTTTTAAGGGCTGAAAAACCCTCAACAACAGAAAAGAGTTCATTTAATAGATAATTACTAAGAATCTACTATGTGCTGGATGCTGCGTGGCCTCGTGAGTGATAGATGGCTAAGACATGGTCCCTGCCCTCAAGAAACTTTCAATCTAATAGAAGAGAGAACATAAGTACAGAAATAACTAAATACAAGTCAGTATGTGGCTAGTGTCATAAGAACAGTTTAAAGAGCTATAAAAGTTCAAAGGTGAGAGAACATTTCAGGCTGGAATGATCCGGGCGGACTTCATGGAAAAGATGAAAAATCTGAGCTCAACCCTGAAGACAGAGTGGAATTTCAGTAGACAGGACTTAAGCTGTCTGTTTCGCAGTGCCCATGAATGTGAATTTACCGTCCACCATTGGGAAGCCTACCTCTCTCACATCTTAACTGTTCATTCCTAGAACCCACGAGAGAGTTCAGAGTTTTGAAGGATTAGAACCAAGACGATCCAAATAAATCCTCTCAATTCCCTTACGGGAAAAATGATGTATAATATCTAAAGCACGATCTTCCCTTGGCTCTCCTTATTCAAAGTCATTCATAAGTTTGTGGTCTGTCCCAAGAAAGAAATTACTCTCCAGAGTCTCCCTTTCTGCCCAAGTGCACTGACTGTGGTGGAAGCACTCCCTGACCACCGACCTAGATATCGGGCCAAAAAATCAAACCACATGGCTTCCAATGACCCATTTATTCCATAAGCCAAAGGGTCAGCCATCTTGCTGACAATTCAGACTAATTCCAGGAGAGCCACATCTTCCCTCAGGAGAGGGACTACTGCCAGTCTGTTCCCTGGGGGTAAATTTACTACCACAGAGTACACCAGTTAACTCACCTGGCCAGCTACCAAGGAACAGGTCACTGTAAATATGTCCTTGGCCTTTGGTCTTCTCTTTCCTATAATTCTAATTTGTAAACCACATTGGCTTTTACTGGCTTTAGAATAAGCCACTATTTGTAAAGCTTTTTACAATCATCATTAGGTGTTCCAAGTTCCATTTTCTGAACTCTTGACAAAACTGTGCCTTCTGGGCATGGTTCCAATTGTCAAACTGTCCAGTTGTCATCCAAAATGCACAACATGGGCTCTCTGACTCTGCCACTCCAGCTTCATATTACTCATAACAGTACATTTCTTAGAGCTAGCCCTCTGATCGTTGAACTCTGTGCCACTAACGTTTGTGATACTGGAAGAAAAGGACTTTGTTCTTCAGTAGCTTGTCAGGATACTCTTCAGTCTGTCTACCTGGAACAGACAACCTTTGACTGTAATTCCCAAATGGCTCAATTCTAGATCCTGTCTTCTAATTTCTATCCCTAGCTTTTCCCTTCCATAATATTCTAGCTCCACTCTCATTAAGGCTCCTTTCCCACCAAAACATTTATGTACCCTAGGAAAAGTTTGGAAATTACAATCACACATTACTACTGTCCACCAGAGGTTTTTAAGTCTTTACTGTCAAACATATGGCTTGACATAACAGAAAATTAATAATGGTATTTGTATACTCTTTTGTAGTTTATAAAGTACTTAACATATTTTATCCCATTTGGTACAACAACCCTATGAAATAGGTAGTATAGGTATGATCCCATTTTTCAGATGAGGAAACAGGGACAAAGAAAGATTAAGTGACTTGCCTAAAGCTTCACAGTTAGAGTAACTGAGTAATACAAGTAACAGAGTCATAATTCAAACCCAGAACTTCCAACTCTAAATCCATTACTCCTTCTACTAGATAGCCTGTGCTGAGGAGAAATGTGTTTTCTAGCATGAAGCATCTTCGGGTCCAGTAGTGGTAGGCAAACTACCAGAGCAAGCAGGGCCACCTCTCTAAACCTTCAGGACACACTCAGTCACAAGTATAGCTTGGTCAGTCATGGCAACAAATAGAAAATGGCAGGTGTCTGTCAAGACAACAGCTTATCAAGCAACTAAAAATATGTATTGTTAGCCTTTTTTACAAAAATCACCAGAAACACCAACATCAGTATGACATGAAAGGGGGCAAAAGATAGTTGGCATTTTCCTGTTGTCTCTTTTGTCCATCTGTGTGCTCCCAATAAATGGGACCTAGGACACAGAAAACATGCTTTTCTGTAGATAAAAGTCTCTTGAACTCCTGAGAGAATAGTGGTCTCCATCACAACTACCTATTTTATCCAAGAGCACTGGTGAGATTTATTCCCCACAGCTTTTTCCTTACCTACACAGGCTCTAAAGGGAGGAACAAGGACATAGTTAAAGAAGCCACCAATTCTAGTGATTCTAGAGTCAAGCAAGTTAATGGGCAAGAATGACCAAAGTCTAGTGCCTTGTTTAATTTTTATTTTACTCTTTCCATTAATTTCTTGGCCAAGCATTTTGACCCTGATATTCAATTAAAAGCAGTACGGCTTGCCACTCTTGGCCCAGAAAAAGTCAAGTAAATGGGCAGGTTTCTAGAAGTTCTGTTAGGTTGGTAGCAGTGAATAAGAAATTAAAGGAAGAAACTCCATGTATAGTAGTTCTAGGATTCAATTGTGGAGGATGTTCCAACCTTCTTAAGGGTAATTTTCCCTGCAATTTTTACCAATATGGTAAAAACCACAGCGGTTGTTTAGAAAACTCAATAAGAAATACAATGGTAGAAAGCAATGCCACAAATCAGCTAAGTAAACAAATCAGCTGTTATGATCCTGACTTGGCCTATCATTCAAACAAGGCCTGACTTTACCTCCATCACAATGCCTTCCTTAATAGAAAGATAAGATAATCTATAATGTAATTAAGATAAACAAGTATAAGAAATGTGGGAAAAGGCATTAATAATGGAAAGTAAAACCAGAAGAAGAGACTAAACCTAACTACAACTACGTAAGAAGAAAAGCAAATGGAAATCATCAGATTGGCAAAGTTGACAAAAGGATAAAGTGACGGCTGTTGGAGGAGCTACAAGAAAAAAGGCACACTAAAGCACTGTTGGTGGAGCTGTGAATACCTGGTACAACCGTTTTGGGAAACAACTTGAACTATGCCCCCAAAGCCAGTAAACTGTGTTTACCCTTTATTTAACCCAGTGATACCACTACTCAGTTTATATCCTCAAAGAAATCAAAGAAAGAGGAAAAAGACCCATGTGCACAAAAATGTTTATAGTAGCTCTTTTTGTTATAGCAAATAACTGGAAACTAAGACAAGCCCATCAATTGGGGAATGGATGAATAAAATACATTAAATAAATATAATGGAATATTACTGTGTCATAAGGGAGACAAAAGGTATAGTTTCAGAGAAACCTTGAAAGATGTGTATGAACTGATGCAGTGAAGTGAGCAAAACCATCTCTAACTAGCAAAATAATAGCATAACAATCTATAAATAACAACGTAAAGAAAAACAACTTTGAAAGGCTTAAAAATCTTTTCACGTTTCCCTGATAAAGCTATATAGGGAACTGATTCAAAATTATAAGAATAAGAGACATTCCCCTATGGATAAATGGTAAAGAAATATGAATAAGCAATTTTCAGAGAAGAAATCCAAGCAATCAGTAGCCATATAAAACTGCTCTAAATCACCAATTAGAGAATTGCAAATTAAAACATCTCCGATATTCTACCTCACACCCATTTGATTGTCAAAGCTTACAAAAGAAGGAAAAATACAAATGCTGGAGAGACTATGGGAAAACAGGTATATTAATGCATTGCTGGTGGAACTGTAAACCAGTCCAGCCATTCTGGAAAGCACTTTAAGTATACCCAAAAAGTTATTAAACTGTGTATACCCTTTTAACCAGTGATAACAGTACTATGTCCACACCACAAAAAAATCAAAGATAGAGGAAGAGGACCCATATATACTTTTGTATTTTGTATTTCTAGCAACTTGTTTGTGTTGGCAAAGACCCTGACAACTGAGGGGGTGCCCTTCAACTGAGGAATGGCTGAATGACTTACGGTATATGAATATGATGTATTACTATTTTGCTGTGAAAGATGATAAAGAGGTTGGTTTCAGAGAAACCCAAGAAGACTTGTATAAACTGATGAAGAATGAAGTTAGCAGAACTAAAAGAATGATATATACAGTAACAACAATGTTGTAAAGACAACTTTGAAAGACTTAGAAACTCTGATCAACACAATGACCAACCACAATTTCAGAGGACTGATGATATAATCCATGTCCTGTATTACAAAGGAGATAGACTAGGAGTAGATTGAGGCAATTTTTTTTGGATGTGGTCAAGATAGGAATTTATTTCGCTTGATGAAGCAAGTTCTCACTTTCTCAGTAGGGGTAGAGTGGAAGAGAGAAAAGGCAGAACTACATGAAAATAAAATAAAATTTAATTTGAAAAAAAGACTTGAGGATTCTGACCACTGCAATGACCAATCAAGATTTTAGAAGAACAACGATGAAGCATACTTCACAATTCTTGACAGAACTAAGAACTAAAGGCTCAGAATGAAACACATATTTTTGCATATGATCAGTGTGGGAATCTGTTTTGCTTAACTGTGCATATTTGTTACAAGTGTTTTTTTCTTTTTTTTTTCCAGTTGGAGGGAGGTGAGAAGAAAAATACTTGTTAACTGAAAAAAGGTAAAAATTAATTTTTTTTAAAAAGTGAGCAGAACAATATATACAATAACAGCAATATTATAAATAAAAAAAAAAACCAGCAACCTTAAAGACTTAAGAACTCCATTGCAATGACCAACTAAGATGACAAAAGATAGATAATGAAGTATGTTATCCACCTCTTGGAATCAAAGTATAGAATAAGACACCCATTTCATTAGATTGTGAGCATCTTGAAGCCAGGAGCTATCTTTTGTCCTTCTTTCTATTCCCAGCACTTAGCAGGTGCTTAATAAATGCTTATTGACTGGCATGTGCAGATAGCTAAAGTGGGAATTTTTTTTGCTTGACTGCATATTTATTACATAGGTTTTGTTTTTCTTCTTTTTCCAATTTATGTAGGATTGGGGGAGGGAAATGAGAAAAAGAGAGAAATTAAGTATAGGGTAGTCCATAAGAAAGAAAAACAGCATTTTTTTTTTTTTAACGTACAGAAGAGAACAAAAGATCAGAAAGAATCACAAACAGGACAGCTTTGAAAGTTACATGTTGAATTTATTATATATTTTAAAAGAAAAGCAAACTGTACATAAGAGATTTACAATCTCATGTGCATTCCTCTTTTTCTATTCTATTACGTATATGGAAATGCCTATTTTACTTGGCATTTAAGTTCAAAAATTTTTAATGAAAAGGAATGAACAAAAAATTCTAGAGTGACTAAAATGTTACAACAGTTTGTTTATCTATCAGAATTCATTTAAATGTAAATTGTTACAAGGAGGTTTGTGTTGATGTTTAATGTTAAATTCATAACACAATTTAATTTTGATCATTAAAAGCCACAAAAGAAAAGGGGCTATTAGTCTCAAGACTAAACACTGGCCACTGAGAATGCTAGATTTGGTGGGAGCCAAAGACAGTTTCTACCATTAACCACAAAGAAAAGGGGACACAAAATTCAGACCTGGCCCATGGGACTGAAGTGTCTACATCATTATCATCGATTTCAGGTTTAAAAATCTTCAAGTTTTTTAAGAACAGAAAATTCAGACCTAATTCTTTCAAATGAAGCGTCTACATCATCATCATCATCATCTAATTAAGATTTTAAAACCTTTAAGGTTTTTAATGACACAAAATTCAGGCCTGACTTTTAGGACTAAAGCATCCATATCATCCTCATCTTCATCATCATCATCAATTTAAGGTTTAAAAACATTAAGGTTTGCAAAGCACTTTACATGTGATCCTCATAACAACCCTGTGAGGTAGGTGCTATTATCCCCATTTTACAGATGAGGCTGAAGGAGGTTAAGAGCCTTGCCCTCACTCACACAGTAAATGTCTGAGGCAGGATTTGAACTCAGGTTTTCCTGACTCCAAAACTCATATTCTATCCACTATGACACCTACCTGTACAAACTACATGGTGGTTTGCCTTTGTTTTTTTAAAGCCTTGAATGAGTTAGGAGAAAGAGCTGTTAGCCACTCTGCTATTTCCCAATGCATTGTATTGGCTATAATTTGACTCAATGGATCATAAGAACAGGCACTGCTGCTCCAGATTCCAAAGGAGTAAGTTTCTGTCACTTCTTGTTCAGACGTGTCTGACTCTTTGTGAGCCCAATTAGAGTTTTCTTAGCAAAGATATTGGAGTGGTTTGCCATTTCCTTCTCCAGCTCAGTTTACAGATGAGGAAACTGAGGCAAACAGGGTTAAGTGATTTGCCTAAGGTCACACAGCTAGTAAGTGTCTGAGGCCAGATTTAAACTTAGGTCTGCCTGACTCCAGGCTGGAAAACTTCTATTACTACAAAGTGTTAAGGTAACACAGTAAAGTCTTCTATGGGAAGAAGTTTCTACTCAAAGAGAAAAGGAAGCATGTACAGTGTTATAAAAAGTAACCTGCAATATTGTTGCACTACAGGAAATTATAAATATGAAGAATTCATAGAAATTTGGGAAGATCTGTATGTGAACTTAAACGGAACAAATGAAAAAGAACTAGGAGAATACTATAATGTAATGACTACAATAATGTAAAGAAAAAAACATTTGAAGACTTCAGAATTCAGATCAATTCAATGACCAGTATGTCTGCCACTTCGAGGTAGAGAGGTGCAGAGTAAGGTCCAGGATACACTTTCAGAAATAGCCAATGAGTTGATTCGTTTTGCTTAACTACCTGCACTCTTTTGTTACAAAGGAGGTTCTGATGAGAGAGAGGGTGAGGAGGGTATTTAAAAAAGAGCATCAATAAAACTTTGTCCCCCAGAAAAGGTTCTTTTCTTACATGGTCCCTCAAAACCCTGGTTTGTGACTAAAATCGACAGCAGCCCCCAGCTAGGATGCCATGGCTCTCCCAATTCTATAAGGAGCATATGACTCACCCTCCCTCGCTCTCTCCTTCGGTCAGAGGCGGTCCAGAGTTCGCACTGAAGTAGATGGAGCTCGAGCCGGTGGAGTCTCTTCTTTCCCTGTTGAATGGATACCTTCTCCTCCGAGTCACTTTTTGGTTCTCTTCTATCTGGGACCTGAAAAGTAGGACCCATTCCAGAGGGTCAAACTAGATCCTACGGACATTTATTCTACCTATACTACCACTGGTGGAGAATGAGAGACAAACACAATCTACATGCGCTGACAGTCTGTCCCAAAGGCCTGTTCTAGTAAGAGAATGAGTTCAACAGTTCCCTTTTTCTCAAGAGTGGTCTATTCTAACAACTCAAAGCTTACGACGGTTTGGCGGGTTAAGTGGGATTCTTGCCAAATGCCCTTTTGAGATTCAGTGTAAATGGCTCAACTGGTATAAAAAGAAAACTTAACCTGGATCCCCAAATGCCCAATCATGAGTGCCACCCTAATCCTGGATTAGAAGTTCTCTGAGGGAAAAAAAAAAAGAAAGAAAGAAAGAAAAGAAATATGGTCTAGCACAGACAACAAAAGCTAAAGGAACTGCCCAGTGTCAGTCATCCAGTACTCACTTGACCTCCCCTACAATCTCCCCAGCAAGAGCCCGGAGGCTATTTCTGAGTTCTTCCACCTCCTGTCGAAGCTCAGTTAGGCCGCTCAACACAAAGTCCAGGCGATCCAGCACCTCCTCTTGCTTTTCCCTTGACATGGTGGGAACAGACACAGCATCACCAGCCTCCCCTGGTGCTGCCCGCAAGAGCATCACTAAAGCATGAGAGATAGGAGACAAAGTTTACAGTCTAGAATGAGACAAGGAGGCCTTTACATTTTCTTGCCCAAGTAAGACAACTTTGTTCCAACAAATCACTGGCTTCATTACTATCTTGTATCTAATAGCAGTGACATAGATCCATGCTAGAATCAAGTCCTCTGATGATCTGACAAGTGTTTGCAAGAAAAAAATATTTTCTCAGAGTACCAATAACCTGTCCTGCACATCTCTAGTATCACACCATCCCTGATCCACTTTCACAGCTAAAAGTCTAGTGAAATTAGCAAGAGGATGCCTTAGGGTGCTGCTTCACATAATGAGAACTTCTAAGCCAAGAAAATCAAGTCCTATTCCTTCTCACCATGATAGAGGCCAAACAAGCCAAAAAAAAAAAAAAAAGTGACATCTACTGAAAGATGTACTAAAGATATCCCTTGCCAACCCGATGGGTTAAGATGGTATCACAGAGCCCCAATAAATTGACTTTTGGATTACACAACAGGTTGATGCCAATTCCAAACTACTTAACACACACTTGGATGAGTAAATGTATTGACCTAACTGCTGAGATGCCAGATGCTAAAACAGGAAAGAAACCAGTATGGCAGGCACAACAGAGCTGGAAATAAACCCTCTGTGTTACTAGTAACCCAGGAAGCTTATAGGTTACACAACATGCTCAGCAATGCTCAGGAATGTTGGGCGACAAAGACATCTTGGCTATCTGCCACTATTTCCCAAACCATAGCACAGAAACAGCCCTCCTAATGGTCAACCACAGGTTGCTGTGAGAGTTCCACAATCCTGTACTAAGTCTAAGATTACTACCCTGTGATAATCTGCCACCAAATGTATCACAAGACTATACTCTGAGGGCTTCTAATGCTTTTTCCCACTTGAGCCACCTAAAACAGATCTGCTATTGTTAACAAGGTAACAAGGTCTGACACTTTTCCCTAGTAATGTGATATGAGGTGGTCTGAAAACTTAACTCCATTATACCAGTATCAAGGGAGTGGCTACTTGGCCTTCATCTGCCAAGATGCTTTGCTAGAGCATTAACAGCATTACCCTCTGACTTGGAATGTAATACCCTCAAACCCCAGCAGAGGGAAGAGCATCCCAACCCTTGGGGTTCTATACAAACAAAAAAGCCTGTCACCCACAGCAAATTAATGTTCTGACAATGGAAAGCAAGCAATCTGGGGGAGAGTTCTAACACTCTAACAAATGTCAGGGTTCCATTTACCAATCAATCAGGGCAGAATATTACCTACACTTCATTTAAAAAAAAAAAAAAAAAAAAAAAAACAAGGTAGAAAAAGTCCAAATGTCTAAAAAGTGAAACTGACTCCCAGTGAAACCTTAGGAAGTTAATAAGAATCAGAAGGTGCCTTATAAATCATCTTGACCAGTCTCAAGCTTTTATAAGAAATAATTTTTAATGAGAAAACTGGGATCTAGAGAGAAGGAACACAGCTAAGACTATGCAGCTAATGAGCTGGGATTTCAACACAGGTGTCCTCTGACTTCAAGACTATCAAACTTCAAAATGAGATTACAGCCAAAATTAGTAAGAGAATAAATTACTTTAAAAATACCTTAATTCACCTTAAATAAAGAGGTAGCATTGTGTAATAGAAAGACTACTGAATACCAGTCTAGGACCCACTCTGCCACTAACCTGGCTAAGAAAGTCACAACCTCTCTGGGCCTCAAGAGCCTCATTTGTAATGAAAATTAGATTGGTGATCTCCAAAGTCTCTTCCAACACTAACATTCTCTGATAAATTAAATAATCAGGATTGTTTTAATACATACAAAACCCACTTTTCCTTCTGCATTTTTCTGGGCTTCCTTTCTCCTGTAATATACACCCACACAGCATCAATCTGGGACTTAAAACACCTTAATACTTGTTGCCAAAACTAACAATGAAAACTATGCAATCTTTTCAACACCTTTCTACTTTTCCAGGGTTATGAGAGAATGGAGATAAAAGGTTGAAGTCTTTCACCACCCCTTTCCACCTGAACAAGATGCCAGCAATTGCACTAGGCTTTGAAGATGGGATTAAAAATCAGGAGACCAGCATTTGACACCACCTTTGCTACTGACTGAGTGACCTTAAGTATGTTATATTCAACCTAAACCAACAATCATGTATTTGGGACCAATTGTGTCAATCTCTCTTTTCCTGGGCTCTTTTTTATACTTGTGAAATGGGAATACATTCAGGAATCTCTTTTCCTCTCCTTCTATTTATTGGGCCCCAATAACTCAATACACAGCAAGTTATTTTAAACATGTGAGATCAGTAATTACAGCCAGTTTTTAGTTATGGAAAGACGAAAAATACTATCCACCTCTAGAGAAAGAATTGATGGAGTCTGAATGCAGCTTGAAGCATAATTTTTTCCCTTTTATTCTTGCTTTTTTTTTGCAACATGGCTAATATGGAAACGTTTTGCATGATTTCACATGTATAATTGATATCACAATTCTTGCCTTCTTAATGAGTGAGGAAGGAGTGGGAAAGGGGAGAATGTGGAACTCAAATTTTGTTTTAAAGAATGTTTAAAATAAGTAATTTTTAAGCATTAAAATAAAAAATAATGCTGCGAAGGCAGAATGAGTTCTATTCTAGGGTCAACAAATAAGCTTTTCAAGTCCTCCCAAATAAGTCAAGCGTTCTGGACCTCCAGCCCTCCCTCGGCCGAGAGGCCGGCCATGCCTGACCACAGGTTGGTACACCTCGGCCAAGCGACCGGCCCCCTAAGGCCAAGCGCTCCGGGGGGGGGAGAAGCCTTGGCAGTGCCCGGGGTGGGACGGGGCGCGCCTACCCCGGCGGTGAGGCTCCAGGGTTCGGGTGTAGCCCAGAGAGTTGGACGCGTTCCAGTTACCGCCATGGCTCTGGGTCCGTTTCCTCCGGTGGATGTAGAAGGCACAGAGGAGTCCTAGGCCCGTTGCAGCCCCGAGCACCAGCCCGAGCCCGGAGCGAGCGCCCCCCAGGACCCCCGGTCTAGACATGCTGCACCTGCAGGGCGAGGGCAAGGAGGGGTGAGGAGCGGGCCGCTGCCCCCAGCCCCGGACACCCCCCCGGCCCCGCTGCCCCGCCCAGCCCGCTGCCTCCCGGGAGCCCGCCCCGCAGCGGCCCCGGCCCCGGCCCCGGCCCATCCTCTGGGAGCCCCCGGAGAGGACGGATGCTTACCCGGCCTCCAGACACCATAGCACCGCTGCAGTCACCCTCCGGCCAAGGTCCCGCGGGAACGAAGTCACGGAAAAGACTCACCGCCCACCCCACGCTTCGCTCCCTACCTACCTCCCCATCCACCTGACGGCGGCAGCCGCGGCGGCGGCGCTAACAACGGCGCCGAGAGATGACGTACGAGAAGCCCCGCCCCAGCTCCCTCAGGGGGCGGGGCCTGTGGGGAAACGTCGAGGGGAGGGGATGAGAGGAGGACGGGGAGAGGAGGGGGGAAAGGAAGGGGAGAGGGGAGAGAAAAAGGAACTGAGCTAGGAGAGGGACTGAGAAATACGGAGGGAGGGGTGTCAGGGGATGGAGCTCTGTTTTCTCTGGGTAATGCCTTTTTTTTTTTTAACATTCATTTTTTTTACATTTTGAGTTCCAAATTCTCTCCCTCCCTCACCCACTGAGAAGGTATGCGATATGATATCAATTCTGTGTGTAAAGTCGTATCTCCTGTTTCTCTGTCTTTTTACCCTGTCCTTCCTCAAAAGTCTATTTTGCTTCTGCCTCAGGCTGATGCTTGGGAAACCTGGCAAATTCTCCTAAATCTTGGAGTCAGAAAACCTAAATCCCAAAGCCAGGCCTGGTGACCAAGGGCAAGGTCACTTAATTTCTCTGAGCCTCAGTTTCCTCCCCTATAAAATGGGGGTGATAAAATTTGCAGTACTTGCCTTTTAAGATTTAAACCTTTATAGGATTAAAAACCTTTGTAAACCTTTGAAAATGTCAGATATAAATGTGGGACACAGATCAGGAACTGAGCTGGAATGGTCTCATTGAGAGGGATTGGGGCAGTAAAGCTGACTCTGACCTCCTTGCCTCCCAGTGACCCTGAGTTGCCTTATCCCCAGCAGGTCCCTGCCCTGGGCAGGATATGCCTAAAGCATCTCAATGCTGGCCCTCAGCCCAGGCCTTCTGCCTACCCCTGTCCCTACCCCTCCCCAGGGCCTTTGGTGAAATGGAATTTCATCATCTATAGGAAGCTTTACTTATGAGATCTCATTTGATCAGTTGCAAGGGCAGTTGCAATTTTTTACACCTCTGGTAAATGATGCTTGGCTGCTCCTGACCCCAGATGCCTCAGCAAATGCTCCAGGTAACTTGGATACCCCAACTCAATTGGTCCCAGGGGGACTCCCAAGTCTAAAGGAACAAAGGAAGAAATTTAAAAAAAAATTTTTTTTTTAAGTTTCTAAACCAGAAGACAGTTGATACAGGCAGCAAATGCCCTGCTGGGGTAAAAAGAAGAACGTCAAACTACAGATTTGCCCTTATGCAACCCAGAGTTATTGATGCAGGACTGTTCAAAGATGAGTTTAGATTCGTGTTCCTAACAGCTGGGTGACCTTATGTGAGGCCAGAGGTAAGCAGGAACCTTAGCACAAGAGAGAGAGACTTCAGAGCATGGTCAGTTTGGGCTTCTTGATGTTTGGACTACAATGTGACTGGCCTCTCTTTCTGCTCAGGAACAGAAATGCTTTTCTTGGGGGGAAAAAAAGGATCTAATGACCTCCACCAGCTGGATGCTGTGGAGAGCTCTAGGCAAAGAGGTAAGTAGCTCGGGTTGAAGAATAGTTGACTGACCCTGCCATCAGCTGGCAGCTGTGGAGTTGCTATAGGAGGATGGGAATAAAGCGCCACCTGCTGGAAGTTGTGGAGAGCCATGGTAGGCACCAGACTGAAGCCTCAGAATGGAGTATATAGCTTTTTGGACGCCCTGCTCAGTGCAGGACTGTAAGAAGATGAGGCTGTTGAGGTCTCTGGGCAAAGTTTCGCTCACTGGCAACTGTCGATATTTTCCTCGAGTTCTCACTGCTCTATTTGTTTTTCTTAACTTGTAAATAACCTTTTTATTCTTTGGATTCTGTCCTTGCAAGGGGAATAGGTATTACATATAATTTAGTGAGGGTACCTGATTTTCTGAGTGGGGGCGATGAACCAAACTGGAGAGGTGAGAAATTCCCTGAAGTGTACCCAAATCTTGTGTGTCATCTGAGAGCCTCTAACACAGAAATTACACTAACATTGCTTAGGTAAACAATATGGGGGGAATGGTTGAACAGGTTGTGTGGTATATGATAGTAATGAAGTACTATTGTGCTATAAGAAATGATGGGCAGGATGAGTTCAGAAAAACCTGGAAAGACTTACATGAACTGATATAAAGTGAAGTAAGCAGAGCCAAAAGAACATTGTACACAGTAACATCAATATTGTACAATGATCAACAGTCAATGACTTAGCTATTCTCAGCAATACAGTGACCCAAGACAATCCCCAAGTACTCATGGGGAAAAATGCTATCCAGCTCCAGAGAAAGAACTCAGAATCTGAATGCAGATTAAAGCATGCTATTTTTCACTTTATTTTAAAATTTTTTTTCTTTTGGCCTGTTTCTTTTTTCACAACATGACTAATATGGAAATATATTTTACATGATTGAATATATATAACCTATATTAATTGCTTTCTGTCTTGGGGGGTGAGGATCGAGGGAGAAAATTTGAAACTCAAAATTTTTAAAAACTGAATGTTAAAAATTGTCTTTACATGTAATTGGGAAAAATAAAATATTATTTATAATAGGAAAACAATACAGGCATTATTATCCTGTTGCACACATGAGGAGACTGAGGCTCAAAAAAAAGTGACTTGTTCAAGGTCACACAACAAGCAGCAAAGCCAGAACTGGACCCCAAGTCTTGTAGGGCTCTTTGTGACTGGGGCTCTGCCACTTACTAGCTACTAAGTCATAGAACCCCTCTGAGTCAAATCTCTAAAATGGGGATGAGACATTCCCTACCCCACTTACTTCCCAGAGTTCTTGTGAGAATCAGATGAGGAGATATAATCGAAAGTAATTACAAGCTATAAAGCGTAAGGTGTTATTTTTATGGTGTTGAGGATGCAGCAGGAACCAAGCCTCACTCTCTTCCATGTCTGCCCCAGTTGAAGAAGATACGGCCTCACGATATGGCACTTAAAAGGGAATCTGATCAAAAGCAGGGATGTGTGTGGATTATTCCTCCTCACCCCACATGAGCAGCCTCTGAGCCCCATGATACTCTGTAATTCTTTCTGTTCTTTAGGCGATGACAGATGGGCAGACAGAACAGGGGAATTCATTTCCCCCCTGGATATTAAAGATGTTATCTGGCAGCATCAGGCCTACTGCAACTGAAATCAGCAAGGGCGGTGCGGAGTGGGGGGTGCAGGATGGTGTTGGACAAAGCCTTCTAGCTGGTTCCTCATTGGCAGATCTACTCTGACAAAGACATCAAGGCCAGCTGCCTAAAGGTAAATGCTGTCTGCAAACATGATGGCAGCTCCCCTGTCTCCCACCTTGGGTTTGGGGTTTGTTTGTTTTTTTCTTTCATTTCGCCAAAAAGCAGCTACAGGCTAACAGACCTAAGGCAAGCATTCTAGTGCTACCACAAGCCAATGGGTGGTGAGAACAAAACCCTGCCTCCTCTCTGGGTTCTGATGCCTGGAGCTTGGAATCTCGTTAACTTGGCTGTTTCTGAGAGAGATAACACAATCTCACAACCTTGGAGTTAGCATCCATTTCCCAGTATCCTTTTCCTCTTCCCAATAGCTACCTCTTTGTACCAATATGGATCTCATAACACTTTCTATTATTCTTATGCACTTACAATATTTTTATTTGCGTTATATTTATTCCCATGGGTGTCATCTGGTAGAATGTAAGGGCCTTGAGGACAGGTGTCATTTTTTTTTTGTCTTCTATCTCCAACAGTCCAGGTTTGATCACGTCACACACACACACACACACACACACCTTTCTCAATAAACTCTAGTGCCTCCCTATCACCTCCAGAATCAAACTGTCTGGTGTTTTAAAGCCCTTCATAAACCTGCCCCTCCCCCCAATCTTCCCAGTCTTCTTGCATCTTCTATCTTTCCCCTTCACCCTCCATCTACTCTTCAATCCAGCAACACTGACCTTTTGCTGTTCTTAGAACAAGATACTCCACCTACTGACTTTGGGCACTTTCACTGGCTGTCCTTCCTCATCTCTGCTTCCTGACGTGCCTGGCTTCATTCAAGTGCCAGCTAAAATCCCACCTTCCACAGGAAGACTTTCCTGATTCCTCCTAATTCTAGTGCCTTCTCTTGGTTGATTATTTCCAATTTATCCAGTATATGTCTTGTTTGTACATAATTGTTTTCATGTTGTCTCCACCATTAGACTGTGAGGTCCTTAAGAGCAGAGGCAGTTTTTTATCTTTCTTTCTTTTTTTTTTTTGTAACCCCAGGACTTAGCACAGTGCTTGGCACATAGTAGGTATTTAATAAATATTTATCGGCCGACTGACCAACACTAACACAGTTCCTGGCACATGGTAGGCAGTTAATACTTTGAATTGATTCAGCCCTATAAGATTATAAACTACTTGAAGGCAGGCATCCTTTCATATTTATTTTCTTATCTCATCTAATACCTAACATGGTGACTTGCATGACTTGAATGAATGGATATTAGCATGCCCTTGCTTTTGGTATCTGGTTGTTTCATGTCTATGTCTTATCTCCTCAATTAGTAAAAAAGCTCCTAACAACAAAGATGAGTCTTATATTAATGCTTTTGTATACAGAAAAAAACATTGTATGTGTTGTTTTGTGTACACCACCTAGTAATAAAGTGTTAAGCACACATTAAGTATTTGAGCAAATGCTCATCTAATGAATGGAAGGATAGACAGAAGGACTGGCCAGATGAGAGAGCGACCAACTTCTTCAAAGGTGAAAGGAAAAAAAGATTGTAGGGAAGAATGTGATTAAATAACCAGTCAGATCTAAATAGCCTTAGGCAAAGTTGGTCATCATTGACTCTGAAAATGGGTATAAGGGTGTTGGTTGCTGCTATGGAGATTAGTGTGATAAAGAATAGACTTATTTATAGTGCATAGTTTTTAAATAGAGTCTTCATTTGGCATTTCTGTACTGCCTAGTATTGTTAGAACAGATCCAGATCCAGTCTGTTACCAAGGCCTGATTTCACCTTTGCAAGATCTTTCCAATATGCTCCCTTATCTCCTCTGACACTGTCACCACTCTGGTGCAGGCTCTTATCACCTCATTCATGGACCACTGCTGGGGGAGGTCTGCCTGTCTCATGTGTCTCTGGGCTCCATTTCATCCTCCATTCAGCCACTAAAATGATATTCCTAAGTGCAGGTCTGACCCCATGTCACTACTCAATAACCTCCAGTGGCTCCGTATTACCTCTAGGAGCAAATACAAAACGCTTTCTTTGGCATTCAAAGCTGTTCATAACCTAGGCCCCTCCTACCTTTTCCAGTCTTTTTGTCCCTGATATTCCCCTGTCCACTGGCCTGCTTACTGTTCCTCAAACAAGAGACTCCATCTCCCAACTCCAGACATTTTCACTGGCTGTCCCCCATACCTGGAATGCTCTCCCTTCTCATCTCTGTCTCATGGCTTCTTTGACTCCCTTCAAGTCTCAGTAAAATCCTACCTTTTACAGGGATGCTCACCTGATCCCACTTAATTCTAGTGCTTTCTCTCTGTTGCTTATCATCAACGTGTCCTGTATATAGTTTGTTTGGACATAGTTGTTTGCATGTTGTGCCCCTTTTCTCCTTCCCTCTTCCCCCATTAGACTGTGAGCAGGGATCGTCTTTTGTCTTTCTTTGTATCTCCAGAGCTTAGCACAGTGCCCTGTACATAGTAGGTGCTTAATAAATGTTTACCAACTTGCTATACATCTGTGGTTCTTAATCTTTTTTTTGGATCATAGATCTTTGGCAATCTGATGAAATCTATGGCCTTTTCTAAAGGTAATGTTTTGTTTTGTTTTGTTTTGTTTTGTTTTGTTTTGTTTTCCAGGCAATTGGGGTTAAGTGACTTGCCCAGAGTCACGTAGGTAGTACCTGTCAAGTGTTTGGTCTGAGGCCGGATTTGAACTCAGGTTAGAAATAACATTTTGAAATGTATGAAATAAGATACATAGGATTACAACAGAAACCAAAGGTTAGTAAAAATAAAGATGTAATTTCTTCTGATCCAGGTCTATAAACCCCTGAAATCTAACCTTGGGGTGGCCCTTAAGTTAAGAACTCCTGCTATAAGATAGATTGAAATACATATATATATGGATATGGCTCTCTCCTCAAATAGACTGTAAACCCCTAGAAGGTAGGGATACTTTCCTATATCCCCTATCACTGACTAGAACAGTGTCTAGTGTCTAGAACAGTAATGTGATCAGAGAGATGCATGAGTCCTGACAAGGAAAAAATATATTCCTGCTAACACACATTAACAACATAGAAAAGAGGATTAATTAATAAAGTAAACATTCAATGAAAAAAAAAAACCTGGTAAATAAGCACAAAATAGGAAATCTTGATAATAACAGAAGAAATAGATGAACTGGAATAAAAAAGACTGCAACTGATAAAACTAAAAGCTGGTTCTTTGAAAAGACTAAAAAAAATTTGTAAGCCTTTAGCTGACCTAATTAAAAGGAAAAGGGAGGAAAATAAAATAACAAAATGAAAAAATGAACAAGGTAAAATCACAACACAGATATATATGATTAGAAAAGAAGGTGATCCCAGTAATCAATGACTATAGTCATCTATTATTTGATAAACCCAAAGACCCCAGCTTCTGGGATAAGAACCCCCTCTTTGAAAAAAACTGCTGGGAAAACTGGAGAAGAGTATGGCAGAAACTAGGCATTGATCAAAATCTCACACCATATACCAAAATAAAGTCAAAATGGGTTCATGATTTAGATATAAAGGCTGATACTGTAAGCAAACTGGGAGAGCAAGGAATAGTTTACCTATCAGATTTATGGAGAACAGAAGAATTCATGACCAAACAGGAGATGGAGAACATTACGGAAAGCTAAATGGATAACTTTGATTACATTAAATTGAAAAGTTTTTGCACAAACAAAGCCAATGCAACAAAGATTAGAAGGAAGGTAGAAAATTGGGAAAGAATTTTTACAACCAGTCTCTCTGATAAGGTCCTCATTTCTAAAATACATAGAGAATTAAGTCAAATTTATAAGAATACAAGTCATTCTCCAGTTGATAAATGGTCAAAGGATATGAACAAGCAGTTCTCAGATGAAGAAATTAAAGCCATCTATAGTCATATGAAAAATGCTCTAAATCACTATTGATTAGAGAAATGCAAATCAAAACAACTCTGAGGTACCTCATCATACCTATCAGATTGGCCAAGATGACAAAACAATAAAATGATAAATGTTGGAGAAGATGTGGGAAAATTGTCACACTAATGCATTGTTGGTGGAGTTGTGTAATGATCCAACCATTTTGGAGAGAAATTTGGAACTATGCCCAAAGGGCTATCAAAATGTGCATACCCTTTGACCCAGGAATAGCACTTCTAGGGCTATATCCCAAAGAGATCATACAAATGGGAAAAGGACCCACATGTACAAAAATATTTATAGGACCTCTTTTTGTAGTGGCAAAGAATTGGGAATTAAGAGGATGCCCATCAATTGGGGAATGGCTGAACAAGTTGTGGTATATGAATGTAATGGAATACTATTGTGCTATAAGAAATGATGAGCAGGCATACTTCAGAAAAACCTGGAAAGACTTGTATGATCTGATGCTGAGTAAAGTGAGCAGAATCAAAAGAACACTGTACACAATATCAGCCATGTTGTTCGATGACTAATATTGATAAACTTAATCCTTTCCAGCAATACAAGGATCTAAGACATCTCCAAAGGCCTCGTGATGGAAAATGCTATCCACATCCAAAGAAAGAACTATGGAGTTTGAATGCAGATCGAAACATACTATTTGCTATTTTTTTTCTTCTGTTGAGTTTTGTTTCCTCTTTCTGGTGGTTCCTCCTATTGGTTCTAATTCTTACAACATGACTAATGTGAAAATATGTTTAATAGGAATGTATATGTATAGCTTATATCAGATTGTATGCCGTCTTGGGGAGGGTGGTCGGGAGGAAGGGGGAGAAAAATTTAAAACTCAAAAGCATATGGAAGTGATTTTTGATAAATCAAAATAAATTAATAACAAAGAAAAAAAGAAAAAAGAAAAAAAAAGCTATTCCAGTAGTACAGGTGACAGGTGACAAGAACTTGTGAGGACTTGGCTTTGTGAGTAAAGAAAAGATAACATATATGAGAGATGTTGTGAAGATAGAAACTACAGGCTTTCATATATTGGATATGTGGGGTAAGAATGAGGAGTAGAGGTTAACCTAGAAGTTGTAAACCTTGGTGATTGGGAAGATGGTGGTGACCCAGGCAGTAATGAGAAATTTGGGAAGAAGGGAAGATTCGATGAAAAAGATAATGAGTCTGTTTTGGACATGTTGAGTTGAAGCATACTGCCATTTGTTTTTGATAACCCTTAGACGCCTGGCATATCCAATTGGATATGAGCTCAGGATTTTCTTGCTTACTTCTTCAGCTTATCCCTTCATGGTGATTTGAACTTTATTGATGAGCCTACAATCAAATAAGGCTCCATATTAAAGCAGCTATGATACTTTAAAATGAAAAAAAAAAAAAGGTGATCAGCTCCTGTGGTGAGAAGGGATAATGAACTGCCCAGCCCCCTCCCCCATATCCTTGCAATCTCAAGAAATCTGAAGGACAGTCAATTCAAGAAATATTTATTAAGCTTCTACTACGTGCCAGGCACAGGGTTAAGTGCTGAGGATACAAGAAAAGGCAAAGACAGCCGCTGCTCACATTCTAATGAGGAAGACAACATAAAAACGATGTACATACAAGATATATATAGGGTAAATTGGAAATAAATGAAAGCTCCCAGCACATCAGCTAGATCTCTGAGGAGGAGTTACATGACCAAAAACAACGAATTACACAGGTGGGAAGGCTTTGACGGGCTTCCATTTGCAATCTTGAAAAAACTACCCACAATCAATATAATCAGAAATTGATCGGTATAGTATCATAATCACCCTTTTAAATAGTAAGCTCCGGGGCAGCTAGGTGTTGCAGTGAATACAGCTCTGGCGTTGGAGTCAGGACATGAGTTCAAATCCAGACTCAGACACTTAACACTTACTGGCTGTGTGACCCTGGGCAAGTCACTTAACCCTGATTGCATCACCAAAAAAAAAAAAATAGTAAGCTCCTTAAATCCTCAGTTTTGCCTCTCGAGTCTTGCATTGAGACTCTTAAAAAATATTCATAGAATGAATGTCTGGGGGAAAAGGGTACGGTGGTGGGGGATGCTGAAGTGTAGCCCAAGAGCTTCGATGGTTCAAAGAGAAACATTTTACAAATGGCTCTAACGTTCGAAGCCCTGATTCAGGCAAAGCTGAGCCAGCCAGGGTAGGGGCCGGGTCAGTGCCGTCCATTCTAGCAGGAGGTCATGGTCTCCGCTGCCCTGAAATCAGTGTCTGCTACTCCAAAAATTTAGAAGCGATCGGCCCGCGTCATAGGACCGGCCAGCCTCTGATTGGTCAGACGGTCACCAGACGGTCTTCCTGGGATTTGTCTGGACTGGGGGTGGCACCTCCCAGAGTCAGAGCGGGAGTAGCGGGACTTTAGGACGCAGGAGACCCCTAGTTCAGTCGTCCGTCGGGAGGGACAAGTTGCCTCTCGGCGCTGAGTCCTGAGGTGCATCCCCCAAGCTGTAGGGAGACCGGAACTGGAAACCAAGATCATCGAACCCCGGAGCCTGGGAGCCCAGTGGAGCTGAGGAGGGACATAGGGACCATGCCATACCTGCTCATTAGTACCCAAATTCGTATGGTGAGTACCTGCTCCCTAACTCTGGTCCCGTACCTCCCAGCCCACGGGGCGCTGAAACCAGGAGTGAGACAAGGGACAGGCTTCGTCCCCAGCTCCGCAGCCAGCGCTGTTCTGCATGGGGGTGCGTAGGGGTGGTGGGATCCAAGGAACCTAGGCACACCCTTCCCTCTTGTGCACTGAGGCTGAGCTCAAGCGTCCTCAGGGACGCCCTTCGGGTCGCGGGTTTTCTTCCAGCGAGCTCTTAGCCACAGCTACAACTCCCAGACCCGCCCCGTGAGGGAAAGCCGCGGCACACCCCCCCCAAACCCCACCCCACCCCGGCCTCGAATTGGAGACCGTCCATCTGGATTGCGTCCCCGCCCCCTGAGTAGCAAGGCGGCCACGTGGGTTCTTCTGACCCAGTCGACCCGGGGCCACCCGACCTGGCTCAGTCTGTTGGGCAGGACTTTTCTGGGCATCAGTCCCACCCACTCGAGGGATGGCCAGGAAGTCCCTTGATCCTGCCCCGGCTAGACCTACTTCGGAAGCAAAGGATCACAAATTCACAGGCTCTTACAGGCACACGATACCTCCCCACCTTCCCCCCAAGAATCACTGCCATAGGTAGAAGTGAAATGATACTGTATAGCTGTGTAAGTTCTTTAGGGAAAAAGAACGAGATGATACAATTGCAAGGAATACACAAAATGCACAGGGTCTCTGATACACTCCGGTCTGCATAAACGACTCACTACCATTGGCAGACATGCAGTTACAGCCCAGGATACAAGCATACGCCCATATCCAGAGCTGGTCACAAGAACACACACATACACAGAAATTCACAGTCATACACGTTGATAGCCAGTTAGCCACACACAGTCTCATCCAGAGACACAGAGCCTCAGACACACACAGTCAGAGATATAGATACACACATGCACAACACTAGTCAGTCAGACACACATATACAGCACTAGAAATGGGGACACAGCTATCTCTGTGGATAAGCACAGGCACCGCCACCATGGGCTCCTTTAGGGGTCCTATAGGGTATGTTTCAACAGCAGAAGAGACAGCATGGTACTGAGCCCTCAAGTGAAGAGAATGAGGGGGTGGTAAGGCCAAGGTCTCACATCTGGGAAAAGCCCTGGCAGTGCCCTAGGGTGATAGTGTTAATTACCTGGCTATGCCAGGCTGGTAAGGTTGAGATGAAAGAGGCTGGGGAGGGCCTTCGCTGGCCTGTTACTCAATCTGGTCATTCCTGTCCCCCTCTTTGATCACTGTTCTCCCTCCCTGTTTATTGTGGGTCTGAAAGCTCCTGAGGGCATTAACTCCATCCTTCCAGCTTTTGAAAAAAGTTCACTCAGCACTCTGACTATAGGCTTGGCTAAGAGGTACATAAGGGGGGAGGAAAGGGGGTGACCACTTTCTGACCTTAGCAGCTTTCCCCCTGATTTCCCTATTGCAGGAGGTGGGTCCCACAATGGTGGGAGACGAGTTCTCTGACCAGGAGCTGATGGAATATTTGGGGGCCACTAAGAGGAATGTGCTGGGAAACCTTTTGTAAGTAGAAGGGACTACCCTGGATCCTCTTGCATTCTCATCATCATCTCTATAGAATGAGGAGTATCAGTAATAAGTTAGCTACCCAGGTTGTCTTTCTTTTTCTTGGGCAGTTCTAGGCTTTCAGAGAGTGTCTTTTGCAGCAATCTTTCAACTACTGTTCCTGCCTTGGACACTGGCCCTGCTTTCAACTCACAAAGCCCCACCACCAGCAGGGCAGAAGGGCAAACCAGTGCTTTCTACAGTATTGTGGCTTCTGAAACCACATCATTTCTGCATAGGACTCTTATTCCTCTTCTGTGCTTTCTCACTATGGCACCTAACCAGCCTTGCTCTAAGCCTGGTCTCCTAGGCAATAGGTGGAAACTAGAGGGAAGCAGTACTTTCCTCAAGAGAGAGATAATTAATTCAAAGAATGCATCCCACAGGCTGGAAGGCCAGGAAGCACAGGGCAAAGCTTCTGTTTTGAGGCTGCTAGTAAGTGAGCTGGCCACTTCCTCCATACTTTGCATAATATTGTAATCTGTATACTGTCAAGACAGTTTCCTTTCCACTGGTTTAGCATTAATTCATTGAGCAGGGCTCCTAAGAAGGGGAAGAGACCTGCCCACAACGGGTTCTTTGCTCCTGATCATAGAGATGTCATATTGAGGTGAGGACTTAGGCAATAGGGCGTCGAGGGGAAAGAGGATGAGTGCTGATCCCAGTCAATGGCTCTAAGGGCTCCGATGGGGGCTGCTATAATGACTCCCTTGCCCTGAGTTACCAACTCAAGAGTTGAGTCCTTTAATCTACTTAGAAACCCTATGGCCTCAACCAAATTTGTCTAAAGGGGAATTAAGCATTCTTACTGCCAAGAAAATGCAAACAAACCCTGGTGTTTCAGTGGGGTCAGTTTGGTCTCTCTTAGGACTGGGGGCAGGGGGAATCAGCCCTTTTCCTGCCCAGTCTCACATTCCCCTCACCTCATTCCTCTCTCTACAGTTGGGAATACTATGTCAATGACCCACCCCGAATCGTTCTGGATAAACTGGAGGCCCGGGGCTATCGTGTGGTGAGCATGACAGGCGTGGGCCAGACACTTGTGTGGTGCCTACACAAGGAATAACCATGTCCCATCTGAGTTTTTGGCTCCTTTCAGGCCTGCATCCACCTGGAGAGGTCCCTGTGTACCAGCTGCCCTATCCTCCCAAGCCCTTGTCTAGGACAGCCAAGATCCCTGTCTGGGTGGAGTGACGCTGTCTTCCTGATCTGTCACGTCTCCCTAGCCAGCATCTACAGCCTTCACAGCAACCCACTGCAGTCAGTGACTGAGGTCCCTAGCTGCTGAGGCAGTGCATGCACTGACACCCCCTTGCCAGCCCCCCTCATCCTCATAGCCACCCTGACTCGATGGCACTGTGCAGGCCCTGACACAGCCAGCAGGGAAGTTTTCCTAGAGGGAGAAGAAACCTTACCCAGCTGGGAAGCCCAATCTAATCCTAGATTTCCTTAGCCATGAAACTGAGCACAGTCTGAAGATGCCCCAGGTCAAACTATAAGGTAGTCCAAGACAATAAAGAACTGTGATGAGTTGTTGCTTTTCTGCCTGGTCCAGGGTTCTGTTTCTTTCACTCAGTTGGGATTTTCTCTTCAAATTGCCTTCCTAGCTGTCAGAGACTAAAACTTGGACATGGATGGAGGCCTACAGGGTAGAGTACAGAAATAAGGAGAGGTTCTGGGTTTTACCATCTTTCTGCCAGTCACAAATGTCTAATACAAATCGGTTACTTTCTTTCTAAAAAAATTTATTGTAGGTATTAATTTAAGAAAAGTGAGCAAGAGGGAGGGAAGAAGGGAAGAGGGGATGGTTTCTGCAGGGCTATGTGGGCATGCTCTCCTCATCCTCCCTCTGCATCTGCTCGATCAGCTGTTGCCGCTCTGCTGCCTGACGCATGCGCATCATGACGAGGCTCTCATAGTCCCTCTCTGACAGCACGGAGCCCTGTGGGACACAGAGGAGATGGGGTTAGGGACAGCGACCACCAGGCCTGGCATTCCGTCCTTCCGAGAAAGGACCAGGGCTGGGCCCAGAGTTGGAGGGGGACCACTTGAGTCCCACCAACGAGCTTCCTTCCCCAGGTGACAAAGAGAAAAAGAGAATTCAGGATGCCTGGGAAATAAGAGAGTGACTGGGGCTTCTCCCACGCCCCTGGAACGTATCCTGAGTCCACAATCACTGCTCATAGTAGCCAGGTCCTCGGCTGAGAACACAGAGGAGTCTGGCCTCTACACCAAACAAGCTTCCTGCCTCATCACCCTCTAAAGCAGCTAAAATGTTACGCACCCAATGATTGCCCTCAGCTATTTCCTTCCTTGTACCCATCACTATATGCAGTCAATTCCAATTTCTATTTTTCATGGCAAGGATTCTCCCCTACTCATCCCAGCCTTCACCACCTGCTGCTCCCTTAATATGCTCATTCCTTTGTTCATCCCTTCTCTCTGCTGCATCAGCACTTCTGCTACACTGCTGTCCCCTTAGCAATTTAAACTGAAGGCATATGACTAGGAACATTGTCAAGACACCTTCTCTGAATGTGCTGAGATCCCCTCCCCATTACCTGTGGGTTAAGGGGTACCCTGAGCTGGCTCTGGGGGAAGGGGGATCTGGCACCTGTATTGCCCAGCCTCCTGCTTCATTCCACATCTTTCTCAAAGTTACCCTTCTACCCAAGAGGCTTTCATTCATTCAGGCTTTTTAGACTAGTGCCCAGGTGAGGACCAAGAGGCAAAAAAGCAAGAGAAGGCTCACCCTTGTCTTAAACGAGCCCCACCCAAGAGAGGAAAACAATTGTGGGTCTGGTTCATCTCCTAAACACAGTGGAGGGCAGGGCTCTCCTATGGTTTAGGGCTTAATGAATGCCAGGTTAATAATAATCAACCATCTCAATGGACAAAATTGTGCAAAGCACAATTTAAACCACCTCCCTCGGTGCAGCTGAATGCCGGGATGCTATATTCCCATCTCCACTGTGTGCTGGGAGGAATCTGTGATCCGAATTGCCTCTTCAAGAAGCGAGGATCCCACGTACCTCGGCGTGGATAAAAGCCAAAGCACGGAGCGTGAGAGGGTTTTGCAGCCTCCCCTTGGGAGAAGATGCTGGCAAGACACCATCCTGTGGGACATCAGGGAGTCACATTCCTACTCAATGAAACGGTGAGAAAGGCTAGGGAACAATGTTCCATGGGAAATGGAAGAAGGCACTGGTTTAGGTGCCAGATGGTTTGGGGGAAATGTCCATTAGCCTAACTCCTGGGCTTCTGAGAGCCAACCCTGGGAGGCTGCCCCTTGATCTTCCCCTCCCCTGTGCTAACAGTGCCCAGGAGAGCTGCTGTCCTGGCTAGGCTTGCTACCACTCACTTTCCACTCCTGTTGTCCCGTGGCCCACAACCACTAGACAATAAAGTCTAATAGTTAAACACAGAACCAATAACATGATGCCCAGGGAGACCTTAAGGCCCAGCATACTACCCAGATGCCATGAGCAATACAAAATGACATCTTGGTTTCTAGGCCCAGACAGCTGGAGGGGAAAGACCTGAAAATGTTCATCTTAGCCCGGAGTCTAGAATTCTAATTTGGGATCTTGTTCATTCATTTCAGCTCTGCTGCTACCAGGAAGTCACCTCTGAAACCCTCTTCAGTAAAATGAGGGGGAAGCATCCTCTTTCAAAGAATGCTGACAGAACCTGTCTTGGCAGTAGGGCTGGTGAAAAACTCAAGCTAAGACCAAGCTGGGCAGGATGTGAGGCTGAAGACAAGGCCAGGAAATATCCTTAACCCTGCGGGGTCAAGAGAAAGATTCCCTCATCTGTCCTCCTCCCCCCCAGTTGGAAATTCACTGTATGCATGAACTGAGCTCATCACCAGTCAAAGCCAGCACCTTTTCTGGGCACTGCTGCTCCTGCTAACACACCTTTTGGCTTCCTTCCCACCATCCATGTCTGTAGGCCTGGGTTAATGAATGCTTGTCATCAGGTTATGGGGGGGGTGAGTCACCTGCACTAGGAACCAGTCCCTCCTCCTCCTCTGACAATCAGGCCACACTTTTGCCTTTCAGTTACCCTCCACCTTCCTTGTACTCCTCAGCCCTGCAGGGAACCCAGAAGCCAGGCCATCCCCACATTAAGCCACTGGTCAATAGTGAGAAAGGATACAACACAATGACGTATAAAGCAGGACTGCCTCAGGACTCAGCTGCTGGGAGGCCCCTAGAGGAATTTCCAACTCCCTACTACTGGCCCTGGGCGTTGGCAGGAGTGGCTGCCCCGATCCCAGCATTCGGATGCTGCAATTACCCAAAAGCATGAAACCCAGCTTCCTACATGACTGAGTCAGCTAAAAACAAAAACACACCGAGGCTGCCACACACCAGCCCAAGCAGCCAAACCACTAATCAGAAGCTGGGAGGCACCAGCCTCAGAGAGGGAGCAGCCCCACACCTGCTGGGTGGGAGAAGAGGCCAGAACAGACGGAACAGGGACCCAACTCAAGCCACGGCCTGCCGACACTGGGGGCCACAGAGGCCGTTCCCGTCCAACCTGAGAAGCTCTACGTCTGATCCACCAGTGCACCCCACAGCCTCTCACTCCAGTAAGTGCTTCTTCCCCTCTGGGGCTTCTCCCCTGAGATCTTGAGGACCCACGAGGCTTCCTGCCCAGGGCTCCCAGCTCTGCCTTCTCCTCAGTGGGACATCTTCCCACAACTTTTGGGGGCTTGTCTGCTATCAAGTGCACCTGTGGCAAGGGCCCTGGGCTGGACAGAGCCACAGGGGCTGCAAGCAGAAGCCCCAAGTGGCCTCTGCCCACAGCCCCAGGTTGTCTCCCCACACCTCCCTGGGGGGGATTAGCTGCCTCTGAACCTTTGAGAGTCAGCCCTGAGGGCCGCCAAGGTGGCTTGCTTTCCTTAGTCCGATGGAGACGTGGCGGAAAGGATCCTTCCGCAACAATTCTTTCTTCAAACGTCTGAGCCTTGGGAGACCCCGGAGACTCCGACGGCAAGGCAGCGTGCTCAGCCAAGCCAGCACTGCAGGGGGAGACCACGAGGAATACAGTAACCGGGAGGTCATCCGAGAGCTTCGAGGGAGGCCGGACGGCCGCCGCCTGCCTTTGTGGGGGGATGAGCAGCCCAGATCCACACTGCTGGCCCCACCCAAACCCCCACGCCTCTACCGGGAGAGTTCCAGTTGTCCCAACATCCTGGAGCCCTCGCCTGCCTATGCCGCTGCCTACTCAGCCACCCTCCCCTCAGCCATCTCCCTGACTGGACCACTACACGAGTACTCTGAGGAGGACTCCCTAGAGGCCACGCCCCTCCAGGGGCCACCTTCCGATGTTACTGACCCCTTCTTCTCCTTCAAAGTGGACCTAGGAATTTCGCTTCTTGAGGAAGTCCTACAGATGCTGAGAGAGCAGTTTCCCAGGGACCCATGGGCCTGAATGGGATGAGAGGGATAGGGCTGGGGGATAGAAGAGACGAGACTGAGGGGAGATGGCTGAATTGCTGACCGATAAAGGCCACGTCTGTGCTTTATCCCCACTTGGTGGAGCAGGTGAAAAGGGCAGGGAGAGGGAGAAGAATCAGCATCAGCCTCATCCCAGACTTGAGGAACTGGTCGTCCTCCTCCCACAGGGTGCAGTGGGGCAAGTAAGGAATGACTTCCTGGACAGGAGGATGGAGGGAAGGCTAAGGCAGGGTGGGACAGAGAAGCAGCTCCATCTGACCACAGGACCAAACAAAGCAGGCAGCCAGCAGCGCAGAAGGTGGCAAAGGGAGCAATCAGGAGATGTGGGAGGAGCGTGGCGGGGGAAGGAACACAGACAGAGGCCCAAGACCAGCCTTTGAGAAGGCCTAAGGTGAGTGGGCAGGGGGGACAAGACAGGCACTGTGCTAAGTACTGCCCAGGACAGAAGAGAAGGGGAAGGTGGAGAGCTCCACCAAGGGAGAAACAGGGTAAAAAAATTCATGGTGTGGAAGCAGCACGTGTACATGTGTGCATGTGCTGGGAGGAAAAGGGGGCTCTGAAGCTGGAGGTGAAGGAGGGGCACCGGTGGAGGCAGGAAGAAAGAGAGGGAGATCCAACAGGGATGTTTTGTAAAAAACACCAAATCCTGAGCAAAACACGGGAGCCTGGAAGAGTGCCCCACGACAGCAATGAACTTGAGTGACTAAATGGTGAGATGGGAAGGTCTGGGCAGTGGCAGATTCAGAGCAGAAGGTCCAACAGGCAATCCTCAGAATTACGAGCTTGGAATCAGCGGCTGCAGATACTTGGTCAAGGCGCTTGGCACAAGGCTCCCTGGAAGCACCCGTGAAATAAGGGGGAGGAAGTGATTCACACTCTCTTCCCAGGGCCTCAGAAAGAAGAGGGGGAGGAAGAACTCCTTGTCATGGCCCTGGATGGAGGGATGGACGCTCGGCTGGCACTTGGCAGAGCTACCGCTGCTCTCACGGTGCCCAGCGAGGACTGAGGAGCTGCCAGCACCTGTCCTGCCAGCTTAAACAGGCTCCTTGGACTTGGGCCACACGACACAGCCCGGGGCCACGGCCGGGGAACTGGAACCAGAGACCGCAGGACAGTCCCCCTCTAAAGCTAGACGGGCCCAAACTGGCTTGTGAAAGAAAGTGAAAGAAAACTTAAATCCAAGTGACTCCTCCTCATGTCGTGTGACCTTTCACACTAGTGCCCTAAGCTGAGGGGACCTTTGTGTATGCCAGAAATAATAAAAATGGACAGGATTACCACATCAAGGATTTACAGGCCAGGGAATAACGTCCCTTTGTGGAAGGACCCTGGGATTATTTTGAAAACAAATCCTTTCCTTCTTCCATTTCCCTGTGTGTGTTTGGCACAGAATCAGTCCCTCTCACTGTTGGGCTGGTATGGAATAGCAGAGGTAATTGACCTGGGGGCTGCCTAAGGAGGATTGACCTTTGATCCTTAGGATACTACTGAGGCCAACCTATTGAGGGGCACGACCCATCCATTCACCATAGTGTAAGTCCAGGGGACACCAAGGTTGGCCCCAACCTTTCTCTTCTTACTATTTCCTAGCCCATCCCAAATCCTCAGGGCATTTCCTGAGTTTAGATACTCCGACCCTAGCATATGATGGGCAGGTTTCATTCCCTATATTAAATGTAAATTTCTAGGGCAAGAGAACCATGGCACTGCTTCCTATACTCAAAGCAAGAAACACTACCGCAACCACAGGAGCTCAATGAACGTTCTTTGGCCTCCTCCCAAGAGCAAGAGTTGGGCAAACTAGAGGGAGCTTCTGACTTCCCTCCTGGATCACTTGCACATCTAGTTACCAAAGACATCGTTCCAGGAAAAGGAACCTCATCTCTTACACAGAAGTCAGTTTATTCCTCTAAGGCGGTGGTTCTCAAAATGTGGTCTGGAGACCCTTGAGGTAAAACTTTTTCATAATCATTCTAAGATGTTTTAATTCCCAATATAGTGAATATTGGTAGCTGTTCTGCAAACAAAAGCTCTTTGGGGGGAAGGGAGAAGGTCCTCAGTAATTTTAAGAGTGGAAAGGTGTCCTGAGACCAAAAAGTTTAAAGAGTGTTAGTCAAGGAGGCACGTGACAAGACAGAGGAGGAAGCAGATAAGAGGTTCCCTAAGACTCCTGCTCCCTCCCAGCTAGGTCTAAGTCTCAGATGGATTACTGCAATAGCCTCCTCGTTGGTTTTTCTGCCTCAGTTTGCTGCCCTCCCTAATTCATCCTCCACACAACTGCAAAAGGGACTTTCCAAAAGTGCAGGTCTGACACGACCCTTGCCCACTCAATAAACTCCAGGGCTCACTATTGCCCCTGGATAAAATATTATTTCATTGTTATCTCATCCTTTTTAAATGTCAATTTTATGTAAGGTGCGTGTATGTATGTATGTGTGTACAATTATTAGTTCATTGATCCATGAACCTAATTTTAAGTAAGTAAATATATTTGTGGGGGGTGCGTAATCAAAGAATTTTTTATTGTTAGGGGTATGTGAGCAGAAAAATTTAGAAAGCACTGGCCTATGACATCCAAGTAAAGAAAAGTTAGCAGAATGAGGCACCCTTAATAATATTTATGTATCACATGACATACAACTGTCCTAATAATTATGTACATTATAAAACACACAAAAATAAAAGTCAAATCTATTGGAAAACCACAGGAAGAGAAAAAAGTTAAGCACTGAAAGACCATCAGTCCCAATCTGCACCGCTCCTCCCACGCGAACCTCATTCCAAGATAAAAGGGACCCTGAGAAAGGCCGGAGCAGCTACTTCTCCGTTTTTCCCTGGTAGACTCCCCAGTTCCCAGGCAGGGCCTAACCGAGTAGTGTCTGGTGCCTTCCTACCTGTGACAGTCCAGAGTGGCTGGTGACATTGCTGCTCCCTGTTCCCTGGGGCTGACCCTCCAGCCAGGAGATCTTCAGAGGGTTACTGACAAGGCCCACTTCATTCTTGACAGCCAGTACCTGCCAAAGGCAACAGTTTGACTGTCTTTATGCCACCTAACCAACTCTGGGATGGGGTCCAGAGAGCTGATCTCATGTTACTATTTGAGCCCAAAGTCTACAGCAAGAGCTGGCAACTTTTAACCTGTGGTAGGCCAAGGTCCCAACCCTTTGTGCAGAGATCTGAACTTAATGACCCTTAAAGAAAGTAGACCAAATTTGAGCTGACCCCAAGGAAAAGAGAGGCGCTAATTATCTAAAGCAAAGAGACAGCAAGTGTCTGAAAGTGTGTATGTTTGGGCAGGGAAGGGAACGTGACAGGTAGTAGCTTTCAGAAATGGTAGAAGGAAGGTCCTGTGACAGCTTCCAGCAGCCAGCTGATAAAACTATCTCATTTGTCATTTGTACACTTAGGCCATCAGTTACAAACCTGATTAAGAGTATCATCATGGCCCTGCCCCTATGTAGAGCTAAGAGAAGAAATCCAGCTAAGCAGAAGGAGACCGGTACTGTCCTGGCTGGTTTGGCCTTTGTTTCAGCTTATGGTTCACGTAAATCTGTCCTAAAGTGGGTGCCAGGCCCCAAAAGATCCAACTTCACCTCAAGGCCCTGATACTCACCGCAGCCTTGACAGAAGCAAATTCTACCACAGCACTCCCCGTCCTCTTACTGGAGATGACCAGGTTGAGCACTTCACCATACTGCGAGGGCAAAAAGGGAGCCTGAGTCACCCACCAGCTCACCCCCCAGATCAGGCTGTTACAACAGAAGAGACATACTAGAGGGGCTGCCTAGGGTAAAACTGTGATTCATCCTCCAGCAAGAGATCAGAGAGAACGGAACAAGCATTACGTTCAGGTGAAGGCCACTGGTCCATTGTGGCTCTGGGAGATCCCTTATGTCCAAGAAGCTTGACTACGGGCTGGCAATGCCAAAGAACACAGGGTGCTGGGATCGTACAGAAGGGAGATGGGGAAAGAAAGGATTTTTCCAGAGCAGAACTAAAGGATAAGGAAGAGAAGGGCAACAGAACAGTGGAGATGCAGATTTGGTTTATCAAGGACACCCAACAAAAAGGAAAAGACTGCGTTGTAATTCAGGCAATATCAACAAGATTCCTCTAGTAGGCACTATCTCAGCTGGCAAAGACCACAGATGGCCAACCATACCCTCTCTCCCAATACATCTGGCCAATTCCTTCTCTTCAGAAAAGAACACAAGGGCTGAGGATGGGCAAAAAAAGAGAGAGAGAGAGAGAGACAAGTGTGCACAGAGACTAGAGGGGTCATAGAAACAGAAAACATAGGGATGATGGTACAGGCGCCAGGCCCACCAAGCACCAAAGATGAGGTGAAGTCAAGCTTGGACCAGACAGCAGCTGTGGATGGAGGGGAAGGGGAACAGAGCCAGCAGGACAGACCTTCTGCAGAATCCTCAAGAGGACGTCCTTGGAGTAACCGCCTTTGGTCTCATCCTCTTTTTTACACTTCCATTTTAGCTGCAAAGAGAGCAGTGAGTGAATGTCAAACACGGAAGTGCCCGCTAGGTCCAGTGCCACACCAGGCATTCTTGGGTTGGCCAAATTTTGGCAGGTACCACCACTGCTTTCACTAACCTGCAATCACGTGGGGGTGCAGCCTAAACTACAAATGGGAGGAAATGCCAAGAAATGACTACCCAGAAGCAAGGGAATTTCCAGGCCCAGACAAAGACACTTAGGGACAATTCTCTGCCCAACCGTCCCTGGGCTGAGAGCAGCATTTCTAGGGAAGAACTAAGAGAAGTAGCACAAAACTCCGGAGAGAAGTAGGATACAGTGGTCACGAGCGCAGGCGTTATAACACCAACAGGAGATCTCAACTCTGAAATGCTCCAACTTCCCCAAGCCTGAGCTACCTTAACTGCAGGGACATTTTCTCATGCTGACAAGTACCTGACAAGTGATGATCCCCAGGGGCTCCAGCAGAGTCTCACCTTCAGTTTAGGTGTTCCTTTGCCTTCAGGATTTTCTGTCTTTCCTAGAAAGATTGGCAAAGGAGTAAGGGTAGAGAGTCAGGGGAGAAGGAAGGAGCTTTAAGCTGCTGCTTAGGGCTGACTAAGGCCAGCATCTAGTCTACAAGAGGGTCCTTTACAAAGAGAAGCAAATCCATCCTCCCAGAGACACCAGCCACTCCAAGTCGGGGAAACAAGGAGAGCAGGACATATTTCTCTATCTGCTGGCAGTCACCCAATAGAGGTCTCTAAGATGAGGATTAGGAATGTATCATGGCAGCTGTGGGGAGGGCTCTGGAAGCACAAGCAAATCACACAACTCCTCCACGGCAGAGGAAAGGCTCACTGGGAACCCAAGAGCCCCAGAGAGCAATGATGTTTTCACCCTGGCGTTCGGCCGCCAGGACAAAGCCACTTCTGTTCAGGGCCAGGATGGCAGGGACAGGGGAGAAACAAGAGGCAGGGAACTGGTGATGGGGGTTTGGTGTGTGGAAAGGACCAAAGCCACCAAGTTCACAGTCTCCCTCTGTTTCCCATATCCTCCTCCCCAAATCCTTCCCAGATGTTCTTACTCTGTAAGGGTGTAACCCAACAAAGCAGGTGGACTAGGGCCTGCCTGAAGATCTGAACATTTTTTTACCTTTTAATCTCTGTTCCCAATCTTGACGTATCTGCCCCTGGATCAACCTCTGCTGTTCTTCCAGCTGCCGGGAGCCCTCTTCTCGCAGGCGTGCGATCTGCCGAGGAAGACAGAAAAGGGGGGTCACACTACAATAGCAGAGCAAATATTACAATGTGAACCACGTTCAAGTTTGCCCACACTCTGAACTTTGGGCAATAGGCAGTCCTAAGGAGGGGGTGACTCCTGGTGACCACGGGGCAAAAATAGGGGCGGGCAGCTGAAGCTTACCTCTTGTTCTAATGTCCTGGTACTTCGACTGTCCTCCTCTACCTCACTCCCCTGGGCCTGGGCTTGCCTCTCCCGGGCCTCAAGATCTGTGGAGAGATAAAGCCAACGTTACAAAGCAGCCCACGTTGGCATTGGCCTTGGCCATGAGGGCTGAATTCAACCCTATGTGTTACAGCCTTCCTCCGTGGTCCCAGCTGGCCTGACATGGGGCCTCTCTTCCTTACTCCAAAAACCCCAAAGAAAGACTCAGATCAGAAGGGATATCCATCTATAGTTCGCTTTTCCAGCGTTGTTTAAGGATTGATTTTATTTCTAATTCAATTTTGGTCAATACATATTTATTAAGCCCCTTCTTGGGAATCCTGTTTCCATTTATTTGATTCAGAGTACTGAAAAAGCATCAGACCAAAGAGCCCAAAAACCTCACACCAGCAAAGCTGGTTCCCTAGGACCAGGGACAAAGGGTACACGTGGGTGTGGGTATCAATACAGAAATAGCACAGCCTAGATGGCAAAGGTCGGCAGTGGGTGGAGCCCTTGGGCTCTGCCCCTGTGGTTTGGTGCAAGAGACTGACTTGGGAACTGGCTCCGCTTCTATTTTCTCCTCCCCATGGGCTCACTCTCATTTCCCTTGAGTTCAATTTGGATTAACTGGGTACCAACTGGGGGCCTGGCCCTACACTGCTATACAGTATTGACAGACTTTGTATATGACATTAACCGTGTCCCCCACAATCTTCCTACTGCCCTAAAGTAGGGTTAACTGCTTTAAGATACCTCTCAGGCCTAGTGATTACCCCTGCCCTCCTTACACTGTAATCATCTAGCACCTCCTATTTTACTTAAACAGATACTGAGATAGCAGGTGATTTACTTTTCAAAACATGCTAATCCCAAACAATGGATGAGATCCCAAAGTCAGAAATCATAGCTCCCACGCTGCTGACTCTCAGGATATGAATGAAAATGATAAACATGATGCAACTTGAAGGCTCAAAACAGTGTCTACCCCCTCCAGAAAATGGGCAGGAGAGAGGATAAAGTGGCTATATACTACTATGGATTGTTCAGGGTGAAATTACCCACTGGGGAAGTTCTGGGAAGAGCTGAATGTAGCCCAGATTCCCAGCATGGACCCAGGCCAGGCCCCGGCTTGAAGACTTAGCTAGGTGGTTTTGGGTCAATGACCACTTGCCAGGCAGGTTGAGAAGGGATTCCTGGCTCATGCACGGGATGAACCAGATGACCTCAAGTAAGAAACACTCTGCATTGTTGGAAACGGAACCCCTAGAGGAAAAGTGAAAGGACTGATGGATAGTGACACTAGGGAAGCCTAGTGAACCCTGAGCCGAGAGACGCTCCCTCTGCCCTCCGTACCCAGCT